TGAATAATCTTCGGATTTCTCCAATGACCATATCATGACAAGGGGCTCAAGGCGGATGTGATCAATGGACAATGGATGCTTACTCCCCATGGCACCTGATCTCACGTCTGATGTTTTCAGAGGTCTCTGTTTGCCCTGCTCACAATTTGTATTGTTTTAATTGGACTTTTGAGCATTACTGTTCGTAACCGTGAACACTTATTTTCATAAATATAAACACAATTATTGAAAGAAATGAGTTTTAAGTTTTAAAAAGTAGATCATGAAGATATTTCAATAAAATGCTTACAAGCAATGCTTACAAAAATAAAATTGGCAAAAGTTCTTATTTCAGGTTTGTTGTACAGGATTGAAAAAAAAATGTTGCATTTCTTGGAAGAAAAGTAAAAAAAAAATCAAAATAATCATAGCCCAATTTATACTTAGAACATGTCCAGAACAACCGAATGAAATTGCGTTCAACGCTTATCAATCCAATACACACGATAGTTTTCATACAAACCCAACATCAAAGAGTCAATGTTGTCACGATATTGCCTCCTTCTATGGAAGGTAAATTTCCGGCAGAGTGTTGACTGGTGCCAATTGTCACACCTTAATATTATCTTGTGTGGTGACGAAATAAACGTCCGCCTACTAAAGATCCGTTCCTTATTTAGCGCCCTGTGTTTAGTGGTCTGTTTTGGTGACAGTTATGAGACCATAAATATCAGGCAAAGATAGAAGTACCTTTTGTTGTATACAAAGTAAATAAAAACATATAAAGTAACAATTTACGTCAATATAAATATATCAATGATCTGTCTGTAAGTTAAAAAACAGAGTTTTAATTAGTACATGTGTATGTCTTTAAAAAAAGGAATTTTTAAAGTAAATAGTCATTAAAACGAAACATAATAAAACGGTTAAGACAACACGTTAAAAGTCAGTTTTGATGTGCATTCAATATTGCCGTTTTCCTTCATAACTGATTTGAAAATTTCACTAAGGGAATAGTTTCATTATTTACAATGACTATATTCTGATATTTCTTGTGATGTACTGTCCCTTCAAACAAACACAAATAAAAATGTTTCGCCATACAAAGAAAATAACCAGCACAACCTAACTCTGCCATGTATATCCTAATTGCAACATAGCACACAACCTGAGAAGAATTCTTTTCTTGTCTCAAGACAGGAAAAAAACAATGAAAGACAAGACCCCGTGTACTCTAGCACTGACAGTCATTGTAACATCACCTTTTCGTCAGTCTCTTAGTCCCATGGTCACAAGTTTTACTCTATTGGTAGGGAATTTCTCGTACATTATCATATTGCTTTATGAGAGAGAATTTTATAAACATATATTGCTTTTTCATGGCTATTTGACAAGATTCTTGACGCAAGAGGATACTTTTACATAATTTTAATAGAAAGCTTATTGCTTATAGTTAACTTTTCTGTTTAAAATTCAATTGTTGGAGAATGCGGTTATAAAAGTTATTTTGCCTTTTAAAGGTAAAATTACCATCCCCTCTTTGGCCTGAACTGAAGACATCTTGCAATGTTAGAAGGCTTCTCTCTCATCATCACATGATTTGGAAATTGCCTGCTAAAATTTAAAAAAAAATAAGGAAATAAATTAAAGAAAAGGTTTTTTCAATAGACATGAAGATATTTTGTTACATAGACACAACCTTGGGCATGTATTTTTGGATCAATATGTTACTAATTCTCCAGTCTTGATAAAAACATGTAGATCGTCATCACTGAATATTACAAGGCATGACAGGGCTCAAGGCAGGTTTGACCGGTCGACAGAGGATGCTTACTCCTCTTAGGCACCTGATCCCACCTCTGCAATTCCTGGGGGTCTGTTTCATGCCTCCCCCCCCCCCTGTTCACAGATTTGTATTGTTTGTAGATTTTTTGAGATCGATCACTGTTCGTTTCTTCACAGAACATAAAAAACGGATCCCCCAAAAATTCCAGAAGTGAGATCAGGTGCCTTGAAAGAGTACGCATCGCTTGCCGACCGGACACATCTGCCGTGAGCCCTATATACTGATAAGATAGAGAGAAATATTCCGTAGTCAAATTCATTACAACAAACAAAGGCCTCATAATTGGTATGAAATATATCAGTCAAAATACTACCCAATGATAGGATATATTTGCTAACAAGGTTGTCATATTGAACATAGACTTTAAACGAGGTTGTGGAAATCCCTGTTACATCGACGTATCTGCAAGTAGTCTGCCTCTGTTTTAGAACTGATCGTACTCCGGGCATCCTTTTAGTATCGAATAAGTTGGGAGATATAAACACCATATGCAGGTAATGGAATATCATTACATATACAAAGTTGACAATGGAAAAGCTGAAGTCATCCAGTTTTCATACAATTTAGTTGTAAGTTGGCCCTTATCGTCTATAGTAAGTAAAACATCCAAATATGAAAAAAGATGTGGCAGACTATGATGTTTTAATTTCGAGTTCACTGGAATATATCGAGTCGACATGTGCATGGAAGTAATCATAATTGTTAATTGATAAAACGTCGTTGATATATCTGCATGTTGAGATGACGGCCACATCAAGTTTTCTCTTCTCATAGAATTTTTTGAATAAAGTCATAGGAATATAAAAACCTAATACAGGGGCAGGATTAGAGCCCTTCAAAATTCCAACAGGTTTCTGGAAGACCTGGTCTCCAAAGACTACATAGATCTGAGAATTTAATGATTGACATTTGATTTTTAGAAGAACGAACGAATACGCCTTAAAAAAATACGAAAGTGTAAAATTGGAGAAGGCAATTGTGTTATGAGAATATAATTCTGACAACGTGTCATTGAGCTCATCAATACTAATAGGGCAGGGTGACATCAATCTGTGAATGGAGAACCTTTATGGTTTCCCCTGAATTATTATAATCTTGGTTGCGGTTAATAACCACAAACATCATATCATTTACATTTGCCATACTATATGTTTTACGCGATTGGCTTCTCGATATTTTTGGATTATTTGACAGAAAAAATAACGAACGTTTGATCATTGTATCCGAGTAGCTTAACTTAGGGTAGATGGAATTAATATCCTTTAAAAATACTAATTTAAGAGTGCTGCAATGTGGACTGCAAAATGCATGTAAGGTTGTAACAGATTGTAAGGTAACCTTACATGCATTTTCTCGATATCAAATGTTTAATAATGTTTAAATGTTTGATATAAATATCTGCATCTGCAGATCAAGGATTGACCATCCGTGTTATTACTACCAATTGCTATTGAATTAGTGTAGGTCTTAAATTCCATCAACATAGATATTTTGTCGTTCTGTATATTGTATTGTGTAACCTAAGGGTTCGTTTTCAAGAGGCAAAGAGTGCCATTATACACATATAAATATATTTTTTCTCCGGATCTACTTGAGCTAATAATTAAATACTTGGTATCAATATCATTTACATCGATTATACATGTACTTTATTTACAGGGATACTTGTCCCATGTTCTATTTTTTTAACTACAGGGACACAAACCGAAGCTCTTTTTTAAACTGTAATATGTGACTGGGCTCCCTACACGTGGCTCCGAAACTAAGTTCCTATTGTACTGAGTACTCGGTGCCTCACCTTTATTCAGGATATGCTATATCTTGTACTTCAACACAATTCATTAGCTTACTATATACTGGTGCTCTGTATTTTTACCCTAGCCATTACTTTTTTCAGGATAATTGTTTACTAAAGTCTTACCCACGATACCATCTTCACAATTCCCATATCTATCAAAATACCTGAAATGGCACTAAAAATTTATGTTCTGTCAATAGTTTTTTTTTATCCAAGCTCTTTGCTTTGAAATGTTCCTCAAGTTCAGATAGTGAATTAACATGGCAATAAATTCACAGACTACATGGGTTTAATATTACGAAAATGGCTGACAGGGATCCTGTGTTATTCTTGATTTCTCTCGCTTGTCGTCATGATATAACATACACATTCGGTGTCTGGGATAACGACTACTCCATTAAACGCTTAAGCTTGACTACACTGGCTGAATTATTATATACCTCATTAATTTCTGTAAGAATTTGATAAATCATGTCACACTGGTGTTTTTTTAAACAGTTGTACATGTGTGTTTCCAATCAAAATGAAAGTGGCAAAGAAGTGATTAAAATTTGAGTACAATGATATTTTCCTTCAAGACAATCAATTATATTTGTTTGCTATAGTAAAAAAATATAAGGTTGAATTGCTAATGGATAGGCTATAGCACACATGCAGATCATCTCTTTCTGATTACGAAACATACATCTAGTATGGCTAAACAACCGCCAATCTGTTATATAAAATTGATGAATCATTTCAAAAAGTGAAAAGAACTTCTTTTTCATGTAAAATACAAAAATAACGCACAAAGAATATTATCATTATCTCTATACATATCTACGAAAAGATAACCATTTACAATTCGAATGTATACTAATTTTATTGCCTTCAAATTCGTTGAAACCCCAAAAACTGTTATGTATCTGCAATGGAGAGATCTGTCAAACTTTTATAATTTTAACATTGATGACTTCTGTATCGTCAGTTGTCTCATTATAAACGAATAAAATAGTCAGGGGCGTTCTTTACATCTTGTATATAAGGAACAAATTTCAATAATAAGACTATTGCTGTTTAAATTTTGAGAGTTGAAAAAAAAATAAAAGAATGACAGAGGACGATATCACGATATACTTTTAACATAAATGATGATTTGTTACCAAGCCCTATCAACATGATAAATTTCAATGAAGAGCATTTATTCAATAGTCGTACGTAATAAATTGGGCTTTTTTATGGTTTATGGCTATGCAGAACACCCAGCGCAACTCTAATACATCTTCATATTCTTGCTGACCGATTTGCTGAGGTATATAAAATTAGATCTATCTTCTCTGGTTCTTTGTTTTAAAGAAACAAAAGTATTTTCTCTGATGTCATACTGCACCTTTATTGGAAACCTGGGCAAATAGTACATTCTGTTCCCTGAGTTTTGGGTCATTACTGCATGAAATTAACAGCGTTAAAGAAGGAAGGTAATGGTTTCTTAACTATCACTTTTCGTCTTGCAGTTTTTTAAACAGTGCTATAGTCTGAGACGTTAACCTTAAATTCCTCCTTCAGAAAAGATTTAAATCATCTTTTTTTTTTTATTTACCTGAGTTTCATATTTTCTAAATAATTCTCATGATTAATTTACTTTTATGTCAAGGTCATCATAACGTAATTATAATATGAGTGATGGTTTTTTTATCAAACGTTGATGCAACATGTAGCCCAACTGTAGAAAGAAACAAAAATCATTTTTGGCATTTTTCAAAAGAGAAAATTGCCATCCCCAAGTAAAATTCAACTAGATCTATATAAATTTTTATAAGCATTTACAGGAAATGTTATGTAATTAGCCTTTGTTTAATGTTAAATTGTCGGTCATCATGATTTCATATAAAATGAAATGATTGCAATAAAACTCTTTCTTTAAAATCCGGGTTAATGTAAAAGGCAAACCATACATCTTTGCCAGGTAGGTCTGTTTTCTTGACTTGGTTTTGAATAATAAGATACGATCCCTTCTTTTCCTTTACGTTAATGCTCAGAATTTTGATGCAGCTTTTGTTTTTTCCGAAGAAATTTGAACCGACTGAGTAGAGAAAGAAGTGACTAACTTTTGTAGCTTCTGCTCCATATTCTTTGTAATGTCGTCACATGTAAAATATTTTATTCTGCACATGTATTTACTAATGAATATAATCGCTCAGCGTAATGGTGAATGAATGAGTGAATAAGTTTTTAATTTAACGTGATCCAATAACACCTTTTCAATTAATGCAAAAAAGTAATTATGTTGATTTAATATGTTTAGTAGTAATCAATTAAATTAGTAAAGGTGTTGCCATTTACTAGATCGATAATCAAACATTAAATATCACACGAAATGCCATCTACATAAATCACGAGTAGATAAATAACTAATCAGTTAAAAACACGATCATACCAATCAATAAAATCTTGTATTCGTCCAGGAAATAACACTGTTTGTTTTGTAAGGTTTTATTTTTATTGTATTTCTTTGTTTAATTAACAGTAATCATGATCGTAAATTAGATGATTGGCAAAGGAAATGACATCACAATTACAATCACATGCGCTCTTTGATTTTGTTGTTCAAGTGTGTTGTAGATGTTGAGACAATTGATTTGCTAATAAGAGTGTATCATCTGTTTTTAGGGACAGGCTGTAAAATTTGGACAGTGTTGGCTTAGCAGTACGATCTGTCATCTGCGCCGTCAAATACTCATCAAAGCCGAGAAGCGGTCTAGTGTCGCTGTATCGGCCCTGTCCACGAGTAGACGACCATTGGAAACCCCACCTTTAGGGGTTAAATACACGTTCACAAGGATTGGTTTCTAAAACTGTAAGTAAACTATTTATTTGCCTATTTTCATCATCAATATTTTTAATTATACAATATATATATGATAATTTCAAAATTTTTAAAAATAAAATTTTGTTTTCTTACAGCAGAAAAAGAAACGGTTATGTTTGAATTAAACATTCCGACATTTCGCTTTAAGTTTTCTATTTTAATTTAATCGATACCCTTTCTTCTTCTTCATCTTCAAATTTTCCTTCGTGTTATGACCGACTTCGAACTTTGATGCAAATGCAAGAATTTACATCATTTGAATTGCCTCTTAACTAATGGTTATGAAATAAGCACGAAGACTATATTCGTTAATGTTGCAAAATTATCGAATTCATATTTATTAATTGGTCACTATGAAGAAAGTCAATCTAATAACCTAGTAACTTATAAGAACAATTTTAAGTGAAAATTCATATAAATAATTTTATTTCGATTTTTTACAATCCCTATTTTTTTTTTTTTTTTTATCAATTCGACACTTTCTTAATTCTTGAAATTTCCCTAACTCAAAATTTAGGAAATAGTGATATTTTTTTTTCAAATCTCGAACAAAACATTTTATTGCTTTCTTTTCTCTTTTTCCGGTTAAAAATATAAGGTTACTGTAAATATAAGGTGTCTTAAGTGTTAGATACGTTGTAATACAAATTTTATTGGATGGTTGTGTAACCTTGGGCGTTATTTCTGCTAATTGTACCTGTTTTTGACGTAACAATCCGAATTTGCACCGTGACATATGACTTGAAGCGAAACAACCCATGTATCTCTTATGTTTTAGCGATTGTTATAGACCGTAAAACAATGATTTTATTATTGTCTACAATATCACATTTTTTGAGAGGTAATAAGGTCGTGTATCGTTTTTAATGAATCTTTGCATGTAGGGAAATGAGTAATATTTGAAATTAACAGAAGCTCAACCTTTCAAAAAAATGTCTTTTCCTGGAAAACAACAATAAAATGTCATAGCATTTTTATAAGGCCAGTTAATAAAGTTAATGTTTTGTAACAAACGAAATGACACTTAAACCTGTTAATTTTTCTCGTTTCCGTATGGTGTTGATAAATCACTGTGCATGTTTACGATTGTTTCTGGTGCCAAAGAATGACACGGCTTTTCGTTTTATGACCTGAGAATCCCTGTCCAGCAGTGCAGTGCGATTTATTGCACGCAAGGAAAAAAAATCCCGGCCCGGTAGAGACAGTGGCGCTCGCTCATATTTTTATTTTTGTGGGCGTCCTTTTAGATTCTTGTGGTGAACGTGGGAGAAAAATATCTATCTAAATTTATCTAAATTGTCTTGTTAAATTTGTCATCAGAAGAACGAGTCCTCTTTTTAAATCGTATCCCATGTCATTCTAGAATAAAGATTTGTCTAATCGTCTTGAGGAACTCGCATATCTTTTAGCATTTTAAAGCAAGATTCTAAGTGGATGATAAAATATATCAATTAATTGAAATTCTAGAACACAAACATAATTACAGTCGAGCCTCGTCACTCCGGACAAGTGTTCCCAAAGAAATCATCCGGATTAATGAAACGTCCAGATTATAAAATCGTATTTTTCATAACTGGTAGATTTAAATGTAATTTATGTTTCACACAAATTTTGTCCGGAAGGTGAAGCTTCCGGATTGCTGGCGTCCAGATTAACAATGTTCCATTATTTGATTTTTAGGTGAAGTAAAGGAAAAGTCAACATGATCACAAGGTTTAGCTGTGTACTATTTCTTGCATTATCTGGCGTATCTTTTTTAGGTAAGCCATGATTTACTCCACCTCATTTGGTCATATTTTCTTTAAGATCATTTAACGGTTTTTTTCTTTACAATAAACTCTGAGTAAATTCTAAGATGAAAACCAGAAATTGCATTTTGAAAATAATTCCATTAACTGCTTCACAGATGCACAGAGAACGTTTGGAGGTGCGTTTGATGGTGGTGATTTTTTGAACGTCAACAATGCTGGCAACGAGCCGACGTTACGAGGATTTGATCCAAATATGAGAATTCCAAGATTTCAAAACCGTCGCTTAGGTGAATTACCAAGACCATTACAAATTGAGGTTATAAATGCACTGATTGCAAATGGCGTGAGAGGAAGTCGTGTAGGCAATGGATTCGCTGGGGGCATTGGAGGTGCTAATGCTGGTATCAATACCAGACGGTTCACTGTAAACGGTGCTCAAGGTCGTACCTTTGGAGTGGACACTCTTACAGCTACCGGTGTTAACGGTGGCGGAGTAGCAGGTCGTCGATTTACGGTCAATAACCGGTTTGGAGATTCTCTCTCTACAACAAGAATAGGAAGAATTCCACCAGGAACTGGTGGTCAAACGATAGACCTAGCTGCCACACGGGCATCAGGAAGGATTGGAGGGAGACCAGCCGTTCGTACAACAACACGAATTACTGGTGGTATGCCTCGCAGTGGTATTTTGGGAGGCTTAGGTGGTAATGTGGATGACTTGTTCTTAGATCCTGTTTCTGGGAGAAGAGTATTGGTTCGTCCAATTGGTGTTGCTAATAACCTAGTCAATCAAAGAACCAATGGTGATGGTGGTATCGGAGGCGGATTTACAGACACAGCTGGAGGAAACGGATTCCGAAGATTACCTACATCCACATTCGCAGGTGGACCACAAACAAATCTCAGAAGAACACGTAAGTAAATTTTGGGTGTGATGGATACCTTAAAGTATTCTAATTCTCCTTCTGCCTGTCTGTTTGATTGGAAGCCATGAAACAATTTCAGCGAATACGATAACTTTTCCAGAGCTACCGATCTTCCCACCCAGTGGAATGGCAGGAACAGTCCGTAATACAAACTTCAACAGGGGTTTTCCTAACGACAGAGGTACAATTACACTTCTTTTCAATAGCTTTTACAATGAATAACAATAGCTTGATAATAGAAAGTTTTACGTCAATTTCTCTATTAAAGTGCTTGTTATATCTGTCATCTTATCTACGGGTATATTTACAGTCTCGCCATTTCCATTCAGTGGAATGCAAACCGATATAATAAGTAACAATGTGGCACCACAGCCAATTGCTCTAAGCTCTTTGGAACCTTTTTCAGGTACCACCCATGTGGTGGAAATTATACAGTAGTGACTAATGGTTTTCTCTGTGGCATTGACAATCATAACTCTAGAAAATTGATTAACCCATGTAATTTTCATTAAACTAATTAGAATCCTAATTTCAGATTACTACATCTCCGGAACTTATTACCCATTCTCATGATACTGTATATGTAGTTCTCTATGTTCTTAACAATCATCACGACTGTATACGTACAGTAACGCACTATCTGTTTAATATTAATATGCTATGTAATCTAACGAAATCTTAATCATAACTTATTTGCTCCAATAATTTAGAGAATTTCATGGCAAGACAGCCATTCAACTTCCCTCCGCCAGGTTTTGATGCTGGACGACCAAGAGTCCCTCCTGCTCGCCCACCCCCAGGATTAGGGTCACTCCCGGGACCAGAGTCGCCACCAGGGCCCGGGCTAACCTTTCCTCGTCAGCCACCTGTAGATGCTAACCCAAGCACGACTTCCGGTACATCAGGTTAATCTTAGCTACGATCCAACAAGATGTTTGTCTAATTCTATATTTTAAGTACAAGACTAGTGGTCTACAAGAATAGAAGAGGAAAGGCTTAATTAACACAATTATGTATTTATTTTTCAAATTTAACATGGGGTTTTTCATTGCAATATCCCCATGCGATTGAATATAAGGTGGAGAAATTTCCTTTTTATGCCCCCGTAATTAAAGATTCGGGGGCACAAATTTGTTCGTTTGACTGTCAAACTGTCTGTCCACAAAAACTTCAACCTTTATCTCTTGATCGGTTGGAGCTAGGGCTTTCATAGTTCACATGTGTATTTCCTGTGACAAGACCTTTTTTAGACACCAGCATACTTGACCTCTTGACCTTGGAGTCTGACCCACTTTGCAATATTTTACCAAACTTTGACCTTGGTCGTAATTTTTGAACGGTTAATGCTAGGGCTTTCATATTGCACATGTGTATTCCTTGTGAGATTTTCCTTTTGGTACCAACAGTTTTTAACCTTAACCTTGGAGTTTTACCTACTTTGAAAAACTTAAATCTTGGCCATTTATTTAGGACAGTTAGTGCTAAGGCTTTCATATCTTTGTGACAAGACCTTTCTTGTATACAAACAATTTTGACCTCATGACCTTGACCTTGGAGTATGACCTACTTTTGAAAAAAAAAATTACCTTAGTCATACGTTTCGAACTTTGATGTTAGGGCTGTCATATCTCACTTGTTTATTACTTGTGATAAGGCCTTTCCTTGCGTACCAATATATATTACATTGGAGTTTGACCTACTTTCGAAAAACTTTAACTTGGTCATACATGTAACTTTTGAACTGCTATTACAAGGGATTTTTATTATATATTCCTTGTGACAAGACATTTCTTTGGGTACCAATATTTTTACATCTTGACCTAACCTTGAAGTTTGACTTGCATTTGAGAAACTTTAATCTTGGCGATGAGCTGTCATTCGGGGGCAAATACTGATCTTTTAGATTAAACTCACTTATACATAAAATAAATAAATAATATAAGTTATGGTCCCTACTAGTAGAAAAGTAAAGGTTTAATGAAACGTATTTTTTCCCCATATTTTTAGCATCTTTTAATTTTTCCCCTGTTGTTATGAATATTGGGCATAGAGCAATTCCCTCTGTTGACATGTTTATGCAAAATTTTTGTACATCAAAAGATTATTTATGTTTGCGGTTTCTGAATAGCTGGATCAAGAACAACTCAATTTCTAAGATCCCGAACGTCTGGAACCACAACATTTGGACAAAGGAGTTCCCAAAATTTTAGACCAAGAAATTTTCAGCCTGTGAGAGGAACCATGTCTCAGACATTTCAAAGAAATCCACAACCATCAACTCAAAGTAATTCCGAGCCTCTTATTCGATCTGGAAATTCTTCCATCGATGTGCAAGTTGATGACTTTCTGAGCTCTCTCGATGCATTGATAGCAGCTGAGGAATCTGCTCAAGGCTTATCTAATACCCAGAATTCTCGAACAGTTTCCGGAAGCTCAACAACAAACAATAGAAACAGTATTTTCAGCAATGAATTTACACTACCTACGTCTCTTCCAGGTCAATAGTTTCATACAGAATCTAAAATGATGAATTTCTTTTAAAACAAAGAAATCTTTATAATAATGTATCATGAATAAATATATCGATATGTTAAGGAAGATTATTTATATCTCGCAAAAATATTCCAAATTTATCCGTATAACCTAGTGGTTTTTATACATGAAAAGGATCACAATTTATAATATTTTTTAAAGTTCTTGTTCAATATATTTTCGCAAAATGAAATTTCAGATCCTGCATTTCAAATGAGAAATAATCAAAGATCCTCTAGTACCATAAATTCTCAAACCAATTCCTTTCTATGGGCGGGCAATACCGTACAAAATATACCAACAGTGTCGGGAAATAATGACAACATTTTAACTTCTCATGCCTCACACTCGTCCCCAGTCACACACACTAACAGTGGAACAAGTACTTCTGGTATCAGCTCCATAGATGCGACTGGACGAACAAATACAAGATTGGCTTCGTCTGGAGGAACTTTAAATGACAATACTGGGATCAGTGACGTAAATGATGCGGATTTTAGTGCAAACAACCAACTTAGCTCAATTTCATCCCCTACTCAAAACTTTAATTCTGCAGCTCAATCCTTTAATGCAGTCAATTCACAACAATTTGCTAATACAGCAATTCCACGACAATCTCCTCAAGATCTCAGACGTGGTGCCATGAATTCAATTCAAACATTGATAAACAGTGGAACAGGTTAACATAATTATCTTTTCTTTTTTTTTTTTTTTTAAAAAAAAGAAGAAGATTTGGGAATGAAATTGATTCCTTTTATTCAAACCCTTGTGCATGATTATTTTTCTATTTCTGAAGCTCTTCTTTTTGTATAAACAGCTGACTCAGCGGGTTTCTTCTTGGAGGGACAAGGCCCTGAGCAAGGTACAAAGCAGCTGATTTTCACTGCTGAGAGAAATTGTTGTAACCTGCATACGTTATCTTACCTTGAATATCTGTATTTGAGATACATATATTTCTCATTCCATACCATGAATTTCCAAGACTCTGGTTTCTCTTTATTTACTTTCTCTTCTAAGATCCATACTTTTAAACTCTAAAACATTACAAATTTATAAGATATCAAATCTTCAGTTGTTCTGCCTGTGTTGTCTGTGGTAGAAAAAGAAAAGAAAATATGATCTTAACATGATGGTAAATCTTATTAGGATCTACAATTGTAAAGGGAGACTCCTTTATCGATTGGAGTCATTTCAGCAAAGCCCTACAAGACAATGGGTTTGGAAGTATCGCACCTGGTAGGACAGATTTGAGCGGAAACGCCATCAACACTGCATCTTCATCAGCGTCTTCTCAGGCTGCATAAAGATAAGACTCATCCACGGCGAGTGAACACATTAAACTGCATCACTAAGCCCTGCTTGAGCTGACTTCTTTGTTGATTTCTGTTACGCTACGTGGCTAAGGTTGTTTGGTTTTCTTGCGCTTTGCGTATTTTTTGCCCTGTTTTGTATGCTTGTTATTTATTTCTCTTGACTTTTGTGTTTTTCAGGCAGTCAAGGAAAAAAAAAACAAAGATATATGTTTGTGTTTTTGCTAATTTTTATTTCATTTTTCCTTTATACGTCATCATTATCACATTAAAAATGACTGTTAATTCATTATGTGTGTATCAAATATAGAAATGGACTGGTATTGGCAATAGACTGATTAACATTGAATGCATGTCTATTGGTATTGGTATATTTCTATTATTCGTACATTCATTTTGTGTATATTGTATGTCAAATGCTTCAATAATGTATATATTGTTTGTCATTTGCTTGTGTTGTAAATCTTTTTGTAAGCGGTTCATATATGTTTTGGTATATAATTGCTCATGAATCTTGCAAGTTGTCAGTGTTTGTTTACTTAACCTGCTTGCTTTGGTTATTTACAACGATTTCTATTTCAAATTGGAAAAAAACTAGTAATTTTTTTTTTGTTTATTTTTTAGCCAAAACGATTTATTTTCAAAATTTATTTATTGAAGTTATTTAATGAACATTCACTTACCTGAATGCATATATTTACAATACCTTAAGTGAAAACAAAACAAACAAATATTATGATCATTATAATTTTGAAAAAAGATGGATTTTCTTTTTTGCATTATCTTTAACTATATTTTTTTTCTTGTCTACACAGATTTTAGTAACTCACTCACCTTTGATTCCGTTAATCCTGCATTATTCAGCTCAGGTAAGCAAAGTGGTAAAAAAAAATCCTTTTATGTATCTTCTTTATTGTAATGCTTTTTGCGATATCATTTACAATTTCATTTTGACTGGATGTACAAATTTTGATATACAAAATCATTTTTGGATATGCCTGTTTAATAAGAAATAATTTATGGTTTATTTGCAAGTAAACAAGAAAAACTATATAAAAACTAGAAAAACTAGAATTTAAACTGTTGGCAAGGCATTTAATGTATCTTTCTTTAATAAATGTAACAGTTAAATGAGTGATATTTTACAAAGTATTTTCATACTCTGCAATGTAATCAATGATAATTCTCTTTTATTGTATTTCAGGCCCGGATACCACAACAGGTTAGCGTCTTGGAGTGGAGCCAATTTAGCACTAACATAGATTGTGTATCCATAATCTCTATATATACATTATATATCAGTAGATCCATGCAATATACATTAATGGTGCTGTTATTGAAGTATGTGGGAGCTACATACTAACAGCTATGACTGCTGTTATTGTAATACTTAACTATGGATACAAGTGATTACTGATAGGTTGCCAACAAAACCAAAGACATATTTCAAATGCGCATTAATTGACTGATGTTTGCGTTTAAAAGATTTATATGTTTATTTTGATGTGATAGACTGTTTTGTTTATTGTTTGAATTAACAATCGTACGTGAATAAAGTAGAATAAATATTTGTTTATTATTAGTTTTGCTCAATTTTACTAACCAGCATGCTATAAACAAGCATCCGAGCGTTCGAACAATACTTCTTAATTGTAGGTGGTGTCTGAAGAAGTGTTTTCAAATTTAGTGCGATGAAAATGCATACCTCTCTGATTTTTTAAGTCCTTGTCTTGTTGTCTGTCGTCCTATTGTTTCTTTATCAAAACTATTGGATCAGTTTCATAGAAAATTGATAAAAAGTCTCCTCGAACGAGAGATAGATGTTTGGGCTCTTATTCGAGAAAAGCTTTTCTTTCCATTGAGAGGTTAATAACATACCTTGAAAATAGGATATAAAAATTGCTGAGAAAATTTTTTTGTCGGATTCTGTGTATAGTGAAATTATAGTTTAAATGTAGCATAGGGCAAAGATTGGAGTCAAGTAATTTCAATTGCATTTTTTTTATATTCATAATTGATAATCTAGATTGTATTACTTAGTTACTCTCCTTTTTTTTTGCACAAATAACAACCTTAACGCGATTTGGCATTTTATGAACTTAGTTTTCACAGAACCTTTATTTGGAATTGAGCACCGTCCTCGCTAGAGTGCTTTTCGCATATCTTAATCTGTAAGTTGTAAGCATGTTTTGAATAAGGTCCGGTTTTCTTCATTTGATCCCCAATTTTTTATTTAGGTTTGAATCAAGAATCTTCCAGAACAACAAAAATTTAGTTCCTACGTTTCGTTTGGGAAACTCTCTTGTGCTTTCCGAGTTATGGCATGCTGCTACATAATACATACAAATCATTTTGTGGGAAATACGTAACAGGTACCCATGGAATTAACATCCTTCAGTATCTTCTGATGAGCACAAAAGAGTTTCTCAAACGCAATGAATTTTCTATGTTAACGCCGTCGTGAAACAATACCGATTGAAACTTAATGTAAAGCAATTCAGGGAATTTTTAGGGCGGAGTATTTACAATTTGTTTAAAACACGCCAAAATCTTAACAAGACATGTGGAAGATACATCAACGGGAATGGTATACTCAATTCAAAATACGTTCCGTGAAAACATAGTTCATAACATGATTAATTGCATTTAAGGAGTTATTCGTGCAAAAAGGGGAACAACTAAGTACTTGAAAGTAAATAATCGATTATATATATATGTAGACAAATAGATAGTAGAGAAGAAAAATTCATCAAGAACAAAAGCTACAGATTGTCAAACTAAGAATTTTTAGACAATGCCAAGCATTCCTGTGCGGTGAAAATTAAAGTTTGTATTGATCTATCTTTTCATAGGAAACATACTCTCAGAATTCATGGCAATCACCTCTGTTGGGAGGAGGGGATTTGTTTTGTACTCATTTGCCAGAACTACAAATTATATCTGTAGCAATACTATATAATGTGTACTAGAAATGATAGTATGTGTACTGGACACAATATTAATGTAAACTAGATACAATATATATGTAGTGGATACAGTATCAGACGCACTAAGTTAATACATTTCCCTCAATGGTTATTCAAGTATAAACTGTACAGAAATGTCTTTTTTTAAGCAAAGAAAAGTTGTTGCGATAATAACTCTCTGAATTATCCAGTAACCGTTTATTTCATGACTGTTTTTTTTTCACCGTAAGACTTTCAGGTAAAATTTAAATACCAGCTACATATATGTAACGACATTGGATATTTTACATAGTGTTTAAAATCTATACGGTAAAGATATATGTAAAGCAAAAGCTCAGACAAATTTCACAAATTATGAAGAGACCTCGTTAACGATTGCCTTTAATCAAGATACTAAAAAATAATGAGTCATATACTCCTGTACGATCTAATTTTCATCAGATTACTTTCTGAATCCCTTCTCTAACATTTATTTCATTAACTGAGATATACTGTAACCATTTTTCAAACGAATTATTATTCTTTAGCATCCTCATTGACTATGCTGTATAATTTGAAAACAGAATATACATAAAAATCGAAATGTTAAATTGTATATAGACGCTGCATATCGCCCTAAGGGTCATTGTAAATATGAACATTGGAGACCTGTTTCTTTTCTGCAAGTTCTCTGGCAATTGTTGCCAGTGAATACATTTTTTCATGTTTCTTTATTTACAGTGCCATGAAGGAAAATAAAGAATTTGATGTTCTTTCAAATGATTTATCGGCAAATACATGCACCTTAATATCCATAACATCAGCCAAGATTGAAAATATCTATTCATAAAATCAAGTTAAATAATTTATCATCACTTACAAGGTTCAAATTTAGATTAAAGGACAAACTGAACTAAAATACATCTTTATAAAAATAATTTCGAACAGTCTTTTCCAAAACACCGAATAAACTGATTTTTATCCAATGATATTTTTCAGTTGACTCTGACATAAGATCTATAGCACTTCCTCGTGCAACAATAGACAGAATACCAATTACCCCTACAATAAGAAGAGGATCCAGAATCAACATCAACTTGCGACCTTTACGACCTGCTGGTGGAACTGCAGCTGCCATAAATGGCATGACACGATCGAGAGGATTTAATGTTGATGGTAACGTGGATATCGACATAGGCGTGCCCACCTCCATCAATAGAGGCCAGGGGTCAATTGGAATCGACATACCAGACACGAGGGCAACAATCGACATGACAAGTCGAGTTCCTGCCACAGCTTCCAGAACGGAAACCACAAGAACAACCACCAGATTCACAGGAGATACGTCTGGTGTTGCAGGAAGTAGGATAGATCCAATAGACAATACAATAGACGGAAGTGGACTAGGAGTTGATACATCTGCTTCGTCAGTGAAGACAACTTCGATAAAGAAAATAGGCGTAGATGGAGTGACCGATGTTGGCTCTTCAGGTACAATAACTCGTACAACCACTACAACAACAAGACGACTTGCTGAGGCTGGTATAACCGGGGATTCTGCTCTTTCTATTGAGAAACAGTTGAACGCAATTGAACAACAGTTAGTGGCTGCAGCTGGAGTAGACAGACCTGTTTTTGCTGTTATCCCAATGAATGAAAAGGCCAATCAAGCAGACTTCAATGAATTCCTTCGAAATATGACGAATGCAAATCGTAGGTTTATATAAGCTTTCATTTTGTTAAAAAACATTTGTTTGATATTAATGTCTCTCTATATTGTATTTCATCACTGTGTTACTCTTTTTCAGAAGTAAATATAATTAATAGAAAGTCAACAACGTCAACTAATACCATAGACAGTGGAGTAGGAGTAAGTAAAATGAATAAAATGTATTTTACACCAAACTTCCTTAGGCTTACCATCAATTTAAATTCCATACAATTATTGTAATATTATAAGATAAAAGTAGTATCTGTACAGGAAATTTATTTTAAAAATAAGATAAAGGACATTTATTTACGTTAAAACGTTATAAACAATATTCTCATGTTCATATAAAGGTCGACAACTCCATGGGAGGAATGATGGCGGTAGATGGCAGTGTGGGTAATGGAGCTGCCTTGGATGGTTCATCAAGTAGCTTTAGTAGCTCATTCGAGAGTTCAAGTTCAAGTTCTAGAACATCTACAAGTACAACAACCTCCGGAGACACATCAATGACTGGTAACGGAGGAGCAGGATCTGGAGGAATGAGAAAAATTAAGAAAACCACCATCATCCGACGAACATCGCCAACAGGAAACACAGGCACAACAGACGTCGGTTTTGATGGATTCGGGAGTGATGTTGGCGGAAGTATGAGTTCCTCTTTCGTCAACGAAGGTATCGGAGGAGAACGTTTTACATCAGGAGGAATGGTTTCCTCAGGAACCATGTCTGATGGATCCGGAATAATTGACACTGGTTTAGTAGATTCCGGTCCTGTAGATATAGGTGTTTCTGGTTCCCTCACAAACGATGTTTTCCCAACTGATTTACCTGCAATGAGTGACGTCACATCCATGCCTGATCCGATGCCATTGTAAAAGAATTATAAAAGACATATTTTGAGTAGATAGACTTTAACTGAAGCAGATGTACATAACAATTAGTCTTCGCAGAAACAAACACACTAAGTAGATTAATGTGTAGCATTTCGGGCTTTCTACTCCCTGCTATCTCTCTCACTTTGTAGAATTGCGTTCTTGGAACTTTTTACTTAGTTTCAAATGATTGAATTAATTGAGATATCATGTACATACTCCATTTCCATTAATCATCTATATATGCTTTGTGTGCGTGTTCGAAGCAATAAATTTCTTCGATTTTTAGATTTAAACTGTCCTTTTCTTTCAAATAATATTGACTCATAATCAAGGCACTTCACTTGTAACCTTAAGATTCTAGAATACAAATATAGAAAAGAAAGACAGACGAGTATTTAGAGATTTAATATGCAAATATGCATCTCAGAATATATAAATACAAAAGCTATATACCATCACAATTACATCTGCACACACAAGCTTATATTGCACCTGGAAAAAGAAGTTGAAAGACGTCACAAATACATTGTTATTGATAAAGAGGAAAAGTAAATAATAATTATTACTGTGTAGTTTATATATACATGGATTATATCTTGGAACGAGATAAATTTCCTATTCGTAGTTATTGGGATCTTTTTTGTGACAAGAGAGCAGTCAGCCTTAAAAATAAACAGAAGATGCAAGTGCAAAGATTGCAAGGAACAAATTGTACTCACCATCACACTGACATTTATGCTTTATTTTCTATCCAAGGAATAACTATTTAAAAAGAAACAAATTTTACATAAACTTTGTGAAGAAAAGAGGGGAAATTCCATCTTGACTTTCAATATTTTAATTTTTTTTCAAATCCGATCATCATTCTGTGGTAAAAGAGACTGATGCCCCATTAATCTGTATGAAAGATTAGAAACAATGCCGAATTTACACCATAGGTTTAATTTCAAGCATAACCTTGATCTTTTTTGAAAATTTGACTTGAATAAACTATATTCTAAACCGTCCTAAGCAGCAATCATTGTACTATGAGACGTTGTATATTGTGCGGCTTAAAATTTTATCCTAGTCATCTTTATAATATATCTATCTGCTTTTACCTACTATTTCAGAAAGGCAAACACAAATCACAATTTTTCTCTTAAAGTCAGAAAATCTGTTTGAAGAAACATTGGAAATATTTCTTATTTTTCTTTTTAACTACATGTGTATTTTCTTGTAATACTTTGTATCAACATTCCGTTTCGTCAATCTAAACTTTAGGAATATGGCCACCTGTATTACTAGACTAAAAGACATGACATTATAACTATCCTGTGACTTCTTAAAATAACCTTTCAAAAGGTCACCATATATGATATTATGCAATTCCATTTTTTTCAGCTTTAATTGTTACTACATTAAGCAACATTAAAGACAGCACACAACTTTACATGTTTGTTAGTAAGGACAGAAAATCTTTACCTTAGACGATGAGGTTGGATAAACCTGCGATTGAAAATATCAGACATAAGTAAACATTAAAAATTCATAAACCATCAATGAGGCTTTAATCTGTTGTCTATCAACATTGTGTTGATAGAACGACAGACTTTGGAGGCGATTTAATATTATAGCTTTTAGTAAGCATGAATTATTATTATTATTCATAATCGAAGTTTATTGTAAGTTGCAATCGATTTCGCCAAAATTGAACCTACTTTAGAGTAATTATTTCGTTGGTAACAGTAAAAAGAAATGAGTTCGCAACGTACATGTATTAGGTACAGGTCGTTTTTGCTGCTGTTTGTGTAATATGTTACCAGTCATTATAATATCTTAAATTTTTTAAATATTATTTTACAGTGTAGCAATATGTAATGCTTTATTATTGTTTGTATTTCTAAGATATTCTGTTTTGCATAGAATTTATGCGAGTTTTGGGGTAATTTAATAACTGATTTATTAACAAAGGCCCTATATGAATATCTCTTTCAGCTAAAAGTTGTAGTTTCATATACTTAATTCAAATCAGATGTGAATTTCATTTAATTCTTTTTTGTTTTGTATAAAGTATTGAACATATGAACATAAACAAACCAAACCAGTTTTAATCGAAATGTATTTGTACTAACTTATTTTTTATCCAAAATTTTCGTTAACATGATAAACATCAATATCTTTAGTCTTAATAAATCTTTAATCCACAGTCTTAATAAAGATTAATGGGGCTTTACTGTCACCAACATATAGATTCCAAACAAAAATGAATGACTGCTTACAGTCGAGCATGCATACTTACTAGGTAGATCGCCTGAATCTGTTTTCACCGAGAGAGTATCGCCTTCTGTAATTACCAGAATATGAAATGTTTTACTATATTTTTTTGTTTGTAAACATATTACGTCTTAATTGTCATTATTAAGACTGATCCTCCCATTGTCTTTTTGCTAAGTCTTCAACTATTTCATTGTGAGTTAGTAATGATAAATCAGTCTTTTATAATTAAAAACAAGATGTGTTTGTGAAACACTGATGCCCCCGTATGGCAGTTTATGGTTAAGGTTAAAGTTTCTCAAATGCAAGTCAAACTCCAGGTCAAGAGATCAAAAATGTTGGTACCCAAAGAAAGGTTTTGTCTCAAGAAATATACTTATGAAATATGAAAGCCCTAGCCCTATCTGTTGAAAAGTTATCACAAAGGTTAAAGTTTTTTTTTTTTAAATACATTTGTAAGTAAAACGTCAAAGTAGAGGTCAAGTGGTGCCCAAAGGGAAGGTCTTGTCACAAGTGATACACATGTTCGTGAAATGTGAAACCCCTAGAACCAAACGTTCAAATGTTACTGCCAAGGTTAAAGTTTTTCAAAAGTAGGTCAAACTCCAAGGTCAAGGTCAAAGTTGTTGGTATTCAAAGAAAGGTCTTATCACAAGAAATACACATGTGAAGTTTGAAAGCCCAAGCACCAATTGTTCAAAGTTGTCCAAGGTTAAAGTCTCATAAAACTTTGCAAAAGTTGGTCAAACTCCAAGGTCAAGGTGAAAAGGTCAAATATGATGTTAATAGTTGAGAAAGGTCATGTCACAAGGAATACACATGTGAAATATGAAAGCCATAGCTCCAACCAATCAAAAGTTATGAGCAAGATTAGAATTTTTCAAAATTAAAGTAGGTGAAACTCCAAGGTCAAGGTCAAAGTTGTTGGCATCCGAAGGAAGGTCATGTCACAAGAAATACACATTTGAAGTATGAAAGCCATAGCCCTAAGTGTTCAAAAATTATAGCCAAGGTTAAAGTCTTTTCAAAAGTATCTCAAACTCCAAGGTCAATGGGTCAAAGTTGTTGGTATCCAAAGGAAGATCTTGTCACAGAGATTACACATGTGAAGTTTGAAAGCCTAAGCACCAAATGTTCAAAAGTTATGGCCAAGGTTAAAGTCTCAAAAAATTTTGCAAAAGTGGGTCAAACTCCAAGGTCAAGGTCAAAATTGTTGGTATTCAAAGAAAGGTCTTATCACAAGAAATACACATGTGAAGTTTGAAGGCCCAAACACTAATTGTTCAAAAATTTGTCCAAGGTTAAAGTCTCATAAAACTTTGCAAAAGTTGGTCAAACTCCAAGGTCAAGGTAAAAAGGTCAAATATGATGTTAATAGTTGAGAAAGGTCTTGTCACAAGGAATACACATGTGAAATATGAAAGCCATAGCTCCAACCAACCAAAAGTTTTGGGCAAGGTTAGAATTTTTATAAAATTAAAGTAGGTGAAACTCCAAGGTCAAGGTGAAAAGGTCAAAGTTGTTGGCATCCAAAGGAAGGTCTTGTTACAAGAAATACACATTTGAAGTATGAAAGCCATAGCCCTTTGTTTCCAAAATTATAGCCAAGGTTAAAGTCTTTTCAAAAGTAGGTCAAACTCCAAGGTCAAGGTCAATGGTTCAAAGTTGTTGGTATCCAAAGAAAGATCTTGTCACAGGAATTATACATGTGAAGTTTGAAAGCCTAAGCACCAAATATTCAAAAGTTATGGCCAAGGTTAAAGTCTCATAAAATTTTGCAAAAGTAGGTCAAACTCCAAGGTCAAGGTCAAAAGATCAAATATGATGGTACCCAAAGAAAGGTCTTGTCACAAGGAATACACATGTGAGATATGAAATCCATAGCTCTAACCATTCAAAAGCTATGGGCAAGGTTAAAGTTTTTGGGGACAAACAGACAGACAGACAGACGGACAGACAGGGCAAAATCTATATGCCCCCGAATCTTCGATTACGGGGGCATAAAAATAGTTCAGATAAGACACTGAGTTAAAACAATAAACGTCAATAAGCTCTTTAACCATTTAATAAATCTGAATTATGCTTCGTAAAAACGTGATGTGTGCTCATATGTACAAGTAGCATTTCTTACAACGACATACACGTGTAGCCATTTTATTAATGCAGACTATGAACATTCAGCATTAAAAAAGTCGTTTTTATAGATATTCTTCAATCCAAACAAAAACTTTAGCACAGCAACCATCCTCCCAAGTAAAGGATTTCTGATCCACTCCGTTTATGTGCAGCAAAGCGGATCAGAAACTCTTGTGATGGGAAGATGCACAACAACAGAAAAGCACATATTTGGAAAATCCAATTATACATTAAGATGTTAACTCAATTCAAAGCTATAGAAAATTACACATAATAATCCCTCCATACGAATGTTAAGATCGGCCAAATGAAAAGCCTTTTTGGTCTCTTAGTCAATGTGCATATAAATGAAAAATGAAAGCTGTGCGAATATTTTACAATGGCCCACCCCACAGTTGCTTCAGCAACTCACGTTTGCTATCGAGCATGTTTGTTAACACTCTGATCATAGTAGCCAGATTCTCCTCAGTAGCGTTCGTCATGTCAATGACGGCCATGATTCTTCCGGGCTTCTTTCCGGCTACAAATATGGCAGATGTTTTTAGTGAGAAAGAAATTCACTAAATGACGAGATGACATAACCAACCTTGATTTATCACCTAATGATAGAGTAACCCTTTTTTGTCTTTTAATAATTCTACTTAAAAACTACACATCTTAAATTTTATGATGGATTTTTCTCTGAATGCGGATCAAAACAATGCGGATTATAGTATTTCTGGAATTAGTTTAATGTAATTAATTATTCTACTTAATTACATTAAAATAATTCCAGAAATACTATAATGCGTGTCAATCCGCACTCAGAGAAAAATCCATCATAAAAGAACAAGGTACGGTTTCAATACAAATCTTGCCCTGTGTTTTTCTTAAAAATAAAAGTGATGTGAAAAATTAAAACTCATGCTTTTTGAATTATTGAAATTCCATGCAGAAAGATCATACAAATCTTTTTTCTCACATGACCTTCCAAATGCTAATTGTGACGTCATAAACTTGTGCATTTTCCCGTATTTTCTTAAAAAGTTGCAGAAGACATCAATTTTCAATGGAATTTTCTTTCAGATAATATTGTCCACAGGCATCGCCCACAAAGATTTTGAGATATGTGATTTTTCAAAGAATTTTACACAACATATCTAAAAATTAACGTGGGCGACGGCTGTGGACACTATTTTCTTAAGGAAAATAACCCTTGAAATGGGTCATTTTGAGGCTTTTTCTGTTTAAAATAGAGAAATGCATCAAATTAATGACGTCATATATCCAAGATGGTACTCCATCATGCTATATTCTTTCCTGATTTATTACAGTCATATACTCAACTAATATTTAAGTCAGTTTCAAAACTTTTCGAAAACATTAAATTTTTAGGGCACAATAAAGCTAAAACCATACCTTCTTCTTTAAGATGTGTAGTTTTTATTTAGTAAGGAATTTCATGTCTGATGAATTGATTGCATTGAAAATTGGAGGTGTTCAGATTGCCATTAATGATAAACATGAACGTTTTTTCCTAATGAGATTGCTCTTTTCCCTTTTTTTCAAATGTTAAAGAACATATTTCTTGCTTTAATACTAGAATTCATTTTTTTCAAATCTATTTACTTAATTTTTAAAATCTTTCAAGTAATTGAATATCTGTGTTGTAAAAGTAAAGTTGTGAAGTAAAAATAAAGTTGTGAATTACCGTTATTTGATTTCACAGGATTAGGTGGTGGTGGTGGTGGTCGCTCCGTTGTTATCCGCATGCCTACAAATTCAACATCATTATCATTATTGCCATTGCAAAAATAAAAGTAGATTGAGGAATAAATATTAAATCAAACATTCTTTCATATAAGTCAAAACCGGTGTTAAAGACAAGTTTGATAAACATAATAATACGGGGAATATAGGGGAGTTATATAAAAAGCGACAGGCATAAAGGTAGTTCATGCTACACATGCAAACCTTATTACAATCATCATGCATAATATGAGTTTCGTGCAACCCATGCAATTTCCGAGATATACGGCGTGGAGGCAAAAGCAGCTACATGAATTCTAGATCTATAATATTATTATTTAAAGGATTGCTTTTTAAAGGATCATAAGAAGCAAATAGACATACAGGGGGAAACAAGAAGGAGCAAAATCATGTTACTATTCCAAAGCATTCGAATCTAAATTTAAAAATTAAGAGTTTCAAACAATGCTGTGGGTCAAAAGCTGGGGAAATAATAAATAACTTGTGTATACTGCTCCTGGTTAACAAATTCAAACCTGAAGACGGTAAATGAAAGGCACAGACGGTTTATTCTTGTCCTTTTATGTCTCTTTGTAGTGTTGCCATTCTTCGTTCATGGATCTGGTAAAAGGGACAGAAACTCCTTCCAACCTTGTTAAAGTCTGGATTCATTCGGTGCAAGTTATCCTTTTTTATAGCGATCGCCTCAGTTTCATTATAAATACGACTTCTTTAGCATTTAAGATCGTAATTTACACCATTGCAAAGATCAACAGATAGAATTAGAAAAGAGATAATTTGTTTATTAAATTAAAACATTAGTATCATTACATGCATCAAATGTTGTTAAAAAAGAAACAAAAAAGTAAGTCAATTAGATGTTGAAGTGTTTGATTTGAATTCTTCACAAACCATAACCACAGTAACAGACGAGAAGGAGAGTTTTTAATTAGTTTCAGGAAAACACAGTATTCCCACTTAAATTAGGTTTAAGAGATCAAATTTTAGATGATCACTGTCCAAAGGATGGGATTCCGGTGTTAGAAGGGTTGTTCTGAAGAAATGATGTGAAGGTTGAGAAAGGGTCGGTATTACCACCCCCAGAGACGGGGTTTGATGAGGGCGAGCCAGCGCTGGAGAAGGGGCTCAAACCACTGGATTGACCGGTGAGTCCAGAGAGAGGATTTGTTCCTGATGTTGATCCACCAGCTCCTAAATATGTATATATGTTAAATAAATGACTTGTTTTGTCTGATTCATCTTTAATTATCTCAATTGCGTATTATCTCCTTAAAAATAGAAGCTCACCAGATGGACCAGGGAAGGGGTTAGCATCTGTTCCCAATCCTTGCAAAAAGTCTATAGGAAATAGAAAATGAGACAATCAAGTCGTGCACCCGTCAATCCAGTGTCTTATACAGGTGCTGATAAAAGATTAATTATCAAACCTCAAGTAATATTTAATTTGCAGGCGCTGCATATATAGTTTATTTATGGTTTTGTCACTGCAGTAACTGCTAAACAAGCAACCGAAGTGTATACTAGTAATAACTATCCCAGCATGCACCACAGGTGCTACAACATACTGTAAACGTACATAAATTAGCGCACTCAAAATTTAGCGCAATCGTCCTGTTCAACTGTTTAGCGCAATCATAGAGTAGCGCATTTGAGACTTGAAAAGGATAGGTATCTCTTTAAACCATGCATTATCGTGTATTTGATTACGGCTAAAATAAGTAAGTTTACAGTATCATTCATTGATTATATCTAGTTCACATCGACCACACATACACACGTCTCACTTACCCATACCCGTTGGGGGATTAAAAACACCTGGGGTTCCTTGGTTATTTCCAGTACCTAGGACAAAATGGGAATACTCAAGAAAGCTCTCTACACAACAACCAAACTATTATTTTTGCGAATAATACATTAAATATGCTTCATGCAGTTTTGGATACTATGGGAATACAAAAATGTTGAGTGAAGTTTGAAGGAGAGTGGGTGTTCAAAAGATGATTATTTAAAAAAATTATAAGATATTAAAGATTAGCCAATTACATATAACACATTCTCGAATATTATCCTTTCTTGAACTGTTACAACGAGTTTGAGATTTTATAACCTTTAGGGAGCCAAATGGAATTTTATTGAGTGAAATTTAAAAAAAGCTTCAATTTTATACCATTTGTAACTTACATTGAATTGTACATGCCAAGTTTAGGGAAAATCAGGGTATTTTAGGGACTGTATCAAAAGACAGGTACATTAACTATGGGATTATATAGGAAAGTGCTAATTTTTCGCACTTTATAGCAAATTAAACATATTCTAATCTAACAAAAGATTTTTTGATGAAATCGTAATATGTGATGAGTAATATTATATTGCACATTTTAGGCAAGAGAAAATTCCACTGTCTGGTTTCCAGAGAGGGTTTCTCAGAATGTCTACTAGATACTTAGACTTTATACCATAAAATAATTGGAAATTTTCAAATTCCTGTGTTTAAAATTCCAAGAGCATATATATTTATACTTTTTTTTTATAAAGTTCAGTGTTATTGCGCAAAATTAAATCATTTGGACCTTTGTGAACAGTCCGAATTTTCTCTATTTTCGCCATGGCGCTGTTTTAGAGCTCGCAGTGTCAAGCGGCGATTTGCGCTACTTAAGCTATAAAAAATCGGTAAATGACACTAAAATATTTTACAGCCAGATGTAAGGCACGATGCAAGATATTTATTAGATATTGAAAATATTTTGAAAGTTTTGAAATTTGGATGAAGAGTCTGAGACGCGGAAAAAGAACTTTTTCTTTGATACCTCGATAAAGAAAAAGAATTTTTTTAAGCATGAAAATCAACAAGGAAGTAAACACTATTTTTAAAGGATATTATTTATAAGGACAAAGTATTTGTCGTATTCCTTACCTATAAATAAATATTGATCATTATCGAAAGCTATTATCCATCGATCTTGAAGCATGATTATCAGACCTATACATTTACATGACATGCAACAAAATTATCAGAAGTAAAGCGTTACTCATATGTGTCAGCGCAAAACTGGGATTCTGTTTTGATGTAAAATTTTTGCGAGTTCATAAAGTTAATCGCTTTATAAATCGCTGCCATTTTTTTTTTCTAGGAAAATCCCCTACATAGTAGTCCATGTATCGCAAGTTTCTCATATTTAACTATCGGTCTTGTAATTAATTTAATTCTCTCAAGGTGATCTTACGCTTGCACAAAAGAGGCGATTGACCACGGATTTTGGTCAAACAGTATGTACTTTAGTCAGGTATAAGATTTTCTCTGACTGTAAGTTAATGCTGGAAATGCTTCAAAGTTTATAACGATGCACGACGGACGATGGATGACACACTAAGTAGAAAGATAGCAATAAGTCATTTAGATGGTCAGGTTGACCTAAAAACGACTTAAAAGGCATACAAAGATAATATAAAATGTGTTCAAAGTTATGTTTTGTTGCATATCTTAATCCTCGATTAAAGTGGCATTAAATGGTGATAAAACATTTAGTAGATAACGTACCTGTAGAAGTTCCGGATTGTCCTGTTTGTGTGGCTGAAAATACATTTCAACTATGTACAACAAGTGATTGAGAAACTATCGGTATGTGTAAATACCTTATTGTAAAATGTAGCCAACTCAATGTCAAAGACTTTTTGATAAGTAATGGTGTTAATGCAGAAAAATATTCATGGTGGTATTTGCTTAGCGCATTTCAACTGATTTAAAACGATAAAAAGAAGTATTAAGGGATAAAGAAGGTTCAAACCCCCCATTAACAATGAGTAATTAACATTTAATAAAAAGAATATGTGAAATAACCGTTTAATAACTTTTTTTAAAAGAAGAATTATCATGGATTTAACGCACCTCCGATGTTTGATGGAAATTGACCTCCCATCTGGGGGAAACCAGGCGGCAAGAATGGAGGAAGACCTGCGGCACCAAGTGGATCTGGCAGTCCAGTGAGATTTCCTCCTTGAAGTCCACCCAATGCATTCATATTTGGAAGACCGGCAAACGGATTGGCATTAAAAGGATTATTTGCTTGCATTCCAGGTAATTGTGAACCGCCTGGAAGACCGAGTGGATTATTCCCTTGGGGTCTACCCAATAAACCCTGGAAACCACCAAATTGATTATTTCCATTGTTTCCAGGTGACGTGTTACCATTTGGTAGATTTCCAAATGGATTACTACTTGGTAATCCTCCCTGCTGAGAGCCTCCTGGAAGATTTCCTAATGGAAGACCTCCAAATGGATTGTTACCACTGTTTCCTGTTGATGGAAGACCATTCGGAAAACCAGCTAATGGATTAGTACTTTGTAATCCAGATGATGGAAGACCTGCAAATGGATTGTTACCATTAGCTCCATTGCCTAGATTCAAACTAGGAAGATTTCCAAATGGACTGGTGCCCTGAGCTCCACTAAAAGGATTGTTATTTTGAGCTCCTGGTAGACCACTCAGTGGATTACCGCCTTGGTTTCCACCTAAAGGATTAGTTCCTGGAGCAGGCCCAGCACTTTGAAGGGCCTGAAGTCCTTGAAGCAAATTTGTCGGAAGTTGGGGTGGAGTTTGTGCTTGCGTACCTTGTGGTCCACCTGTACCTCCAGTGTTACCATTATTTCCAAATAAAGACGAGAAATCGAGGGATTGTGTACCCGACCCAGTTCCTGAAAGGAGAGAGGAGAAATCGGGGACTCCTGTGCCACTGCTTCCGGTGTTACCTTGACCGGTGTTCTGACCAGAGTTATCGGGGAATGTAAGGCCTGGAAGAAGATCTACAAAAAAAACATTTCAAATGTATTAAGCAAAATAGTTGTCCATGACAAGAAGATAAGAAAGCTCGATTTTATTGGTGTACCATTACTGACAATTGATTTTAAAACATGGCAAATTGGTCCCAGAGTAAGCTGAACGAACTTAATCGATGAAATAAATCTGATCTGTTAGCACACTGCAGTCTAGATTTTTCCCTTAAAAAATTTGATTTGAATGCCATTGTCGTGTATAGTCACAAGTAGAGATATACAAGGAGAAATTCACGCTAGAATGACGTCACAACGAGGTTTAGGAGATTGTAATGAAAATATGACGAAATAGGGCAGTGATAAATTAATGTATTCTTTGGCTGTCTAGCGCACTTCATGAAATATGCCTTCGTGACAAGTCCGTGAGTTTTACACACCATGCAAAAACATTCAAAAAACTAATGCACATTCCTAAATTAAACGATCTCAACATAGTTTCAAAGTTACTTAAAGTAAGAAAAATAAATAAATTTGATTTACAAAGACAAATTACAAAATTTAACAGATGTTTTTATATATGACAAAGATTTCTCATGAAGCTTTTTTAAATCACGCGATTTTTTTTTCTTTTTGTGTTAAGAAGACTTACCGGAAACACCAGAGTTCTGAGGTTGGGTTTCTGTAAACAAAAATAAATAGTTCAATAGTCGGGGCCATAATAAGATGTTTAATATTTGTTAAAAATCATATTCTGAGAATACATGAATATCGACTTTTCAGTCTGTTTTGAGTTATAGAAAAGTCTTCAAAATTCATCTCCTCTTTTTGTTCCTCTAATTGCAGATCACAAACATAAGTTAACCTCTTTCATTCTACTGATTTACCAAATGTAACAATTACATCATAATATAAATGTATTACAATTTTTGTAGGAAGTGTTACTCACGAGAAGTTTGCCATGGTAGTTGATTATTGGATCCACCTATTCAAAATTGATTGAAATAAACGTTATAATTAACATGAATATTTTATTGTTTTTGAAAATTTAAGAAAACAATTACATTTTTGCAGTATATTTAATTTGCTATTAAACATTTTATTCTACAGTGCATCCTTTTCCAGACAGCCTTTTTAGACAAAAGAATATATTTTTTTTACCACTTATAAATAATGTTTGTGAACCTCTTGTTTGAAACTGTTTCTGGATCAGTAAAAATTATATACAACTTTGTTTGCTTTTTAGTGCGATATCTTTTGACAGGTAAAAAAAAATTGATATGAGACATTATATGGAAAATAATTCAAGATCTGTATTTTAATGCACTCAATTGCCTTTATTGCTCTTTATAAAAGATTTGGATTTGATATTGAGAAGATTGACCGTTGTTTATAAGTTCCTAAAGATAAGTGCAATATGAAAAAAAAAATGTTCAATTAAAATCGTTGACCTAAATGCATTAAAAAAAAATAAGGCAAATTCGTTAAAAAATAATTGAAAATAGAAGTAACGTTTTTCCTATGCTAAAAAATCGTACTTCTAAAAATAAAATCTTAATGACATTTAATTAAATGAGGCAAAATGAAAGATCTGGGGTCCATTTTTGTGAACATAGCTTTGTTCGAATATTGATGTATATTGAATATATTGTACTAAAATGTTCATTTGATAACTTTACAGCAAAGACAAATTCATCTGATAAACTGGAATTAATGCACCCCTTGAAAATTTTTAAAACATTTGGAATATTGTAAATGATCTAATTTGTGTTTGTCATTTGTAATAATTACCTAATCCTTGCAGTCCTGGGGTCTGGCCGAATGGGTTTGTTGGTAATCCTGCACTCTGTCCATTTCCTACGAGGAAGAAAATGAAGAGATTGACATTTTAAGCGACTTTTATATTAAATACCTTAACTGTTTACTGATTATTTGAAGGGATCATTATTTTCCCTTACCTTATGAATATCAGATAAGTCAAAACAGTATGACTTAATGATTTTCAGACTGACCTGATTTCTACCCCAACCTTGAATATTTTTATCATAGAAATAAAACACTAAAGAGTTAAATCCTTGCCGACTCCAGACTCTGCTGTTTCATACATTTCATAATAAATGGGATAGCACAACTACAAAAACTATGCAAAGTGAACGGTGATAACATGCAACGTATTTGAAATATATACGAAAACATTTATTTGAAAAAATTAAAATGTTGGAATTCCTATTAATATAATTGTGTCCCATTATCAGCGGACATGTCCTTGTATATTTTATGAAGAATTTATTTTTTAAAAAAACTTCTACATGAAAAGAAGTCTCTTGCTATGGTCTTCAATTCGACATTAAGATATATCGATGACGTCTGATCAAATAACAATATTTATTTTAATTCATACGTTGATTCAATATATCCTATTGAACTCGAAATAAAAGATACCAGGATTTTTGAAACATTTGTTTTTTTTTTTTTTTTGTTTTTTTGTTTTTTTTTGTTTTTGTTTTTTTTTTTTTTTTGGATATTTTACTAGAGAAAGACAATGATGGCAAACTTACAACCAAACTTTATGATAAACATGATGGCTTCAACTTTTATCAATTTCCCATATTCATGTAGCAATATACCATTATCACCTGCATATCTGGTTTCGCTCCCACTTGATTCGATACCCAAGAGCATGTTCTTTGTACGAACAATTTCTAAAACAAGGAATACTACTGACAAATAAGTTTATGATACAAGAGTATCTACAATCTCGTTTAAAGAAAACATTACGTAATTTCTATGGTCGATTCAACGACCTTGTTTGCAAATACAATCTGTCATTAGGTCAAATGTTGACTTACGACTTTCATACAAATTGAGAAGCCATTATTTCCATACTAAATTGACTACGGATTTCTCCAGTTACCCGATCATGACAAAGGGCACACCGTGTGTGTCCGGTCGACAGGGGATGCTTACTCCTCCAAGGCACCTGATCTCACCTCTGATGTTTTCAGAGGTCCGTGTTTGCTCTGCTTACAACAGGTATTGTTTCATAGGACTTTCGAGCAAGAATAATGTTCGTTATCTTCACATTTCATCCTACTGATTGACCCATTTTTTCATAATGGAAATTATAAAGACACATATATTTTTCATATATTTCTTGTCATACAATGAAAAACGTCTTTGTACGTGAAGATTAAAAATTTTCTAGACTTATTGTGGAAAAAAATTACCTGTTTGCATCCATGGAAGTGATGCACCTTGATTTTGAGTTTGTCCTACAAAAATTGAAAGAAAAAGGTTTTATATGTTATATAATGATTCCTTCCTTTATGAGTCTAGTTATGTAAACCAGAATCACATGAAAAAAACTTAAGATTAAAACCTAGAGAATCCAAGTTTGTTGACCCTTGAAATACTTCTGTAAAGGGACTACCTGGTAAACCAAAGCATAATTATTGAATTTGGTGTGAAGTGTTCAGTATAGTATATGTACAAAACTATTAGCAAGCATTAAAAAATATATGTAGTTTATCTGTATTTCAATTAAACATACAGAAAAGGTGGATAATAAAGATAAATACCATTGAAACCTTGTGGTAATCCTTGTCCTGTAAAATGAAACAATAAAAGATTTATGTAAAGAGATGTATTTCATTTTCAAATTACTCTATATTCAATTATAATAATACCCAAAAAACCAAATGCATGTTTTTAAAGAAAGTAAACTAAAGTAAGAAAAATTATATTAATATACTAATTAAAAAATAACTTATAGCTGAAAAAAAATATTTCCGCGAACCATACGAAATACAGATGCAGATTTAGACGACAAATACATATAATAAAACTCTTTAAAACAATAACATCTAAAATGCTGGTAACTTTTACGTAAAGCAAGCATGTCCTTTTTTAAATAGTCATACATCAAGTAGCATGACAGAAAATATCCACAACAAATCACTTTTTGAACTTTAAAGTGATCTTATAAGAAGTTGTAGTACTGATATTAATACACAAAAATTTAGAATATAAGTTATGCAAGATAATCATAATTGAATAGCAAGGCTCCTCTTTCAATAAGCAAGTCATTTTAAGTTAATTTAAAGAGGGGTTTGTTGTTTCGTCGTGTTTTTATACTTAATGTAATTACGGATCATTCCGTCTACCTGATCAACACATAGGCCTCACGGAGGGTGTGACCGGTCGACAAGGAATACTTACTCCTCCTTGGCACCTGATCTCACCTCTGGAATTTCTAGTGGTCCGTGTTTTATACCCTATTCAAAAATATACTTTGTTTTGTTGGTTTTCTAGGATCGAACACTGTTCGTTGTCTTAATCTTTTTTATTATTTTTATTTCGGTACTTCAAAATATTGATTAAACTGTGAATATAGCTGCTTTGTAAATTTATTAGAGGAGGTTAATATTTATAAAATCACAGGTTATTTTGTGCATTTTAAAAAAGGTCAAAAATCTTTATAAAAACAGATTTTCAAAGACTGGTTAGCCTTTAAGTATAAAATGAATATGGATAAACAAATGAAACAGGAAACATTACTATGAAACAAGACTGACATTTTGTAAGTAACAGACTTAGCATAACATTCACATCACAATTACATCTCCCAAGCTGCCATTTCTGTGAGTGAGTGGTACCTTGCAATTGATTAAATTGGGGGTTTTGTCGTTGTTGAACTTGTTGGAGTAATGCTATAATAAAACAGACGGTTTTTCTTCAAAATAATTTCAAATCATTTAAATTTTGGAGAGATATAAACAACGAACTACTCCATTAAGAGCTGCTGAAATATGATTTCTTTTAAAATGATATACATTTTTCAATTTAAGCACATGTCTGATATAAAAAAAAAAAAACATGACGAATGTTGAGTTTAGCCAAGTAGATTAGGGGCCTCTATCTGAGTGAATGACAGAATATAATCAATTATCCATGAGGACCCCTTGCTCCAAAATGAAACAATTTTGAATTATAGCATAATAAGAAGATCACAAGAGACAAACTCTTTAAATTTGGGGAAAACAGTTAAATATTTCTTGTGTAGATAGTGAAACTAATTTGATACAATATCCCAAGTATATCTAGTATTAGGCCTGTCATACTATAGTGGTAAATATATCAGGTCACAAGTAACAATTCAAAATATTTTCATTAATAAGGAAAAGGATAGTATGTTGCATTCTTTTTTCTTTAAAAATAGAAAAAAACATGTTTGTAAAAAAAGTGATTAGGGAAATAATTTTTCAATCAATATAAATTGTATCCTTCAAAAAATTTGATTTTCTATTAATTCAATGAAAAAATAATAAAAAGCATTATATCCTCTTAATGTATGATTAATATTTGATAAACAGTATTATTAATATAGTACATGTATATTTATTTTTAATGTCTGTAATCCAATACTAGTATACAAAAACATATATCATAGTTAATTGGTACTATTTGTGATTATAATTTAAATTTAAATAGTAGGTGCGTAGTACCTTGAATTCTCTGTGCTACTGTGAGATAACATAAAGTAAATTCATTAAACGATGAAAATTCTAAACTATATATATATATATATATATATATATATATATATATATATATATATATATATATATATATATATATATATATATATATATATATATATACCTGTGATATCACTTTTTTCTTGGGTTTAATTTTCGTTCTTTTCGTGGAATGAAGTGAGCCACGAATTCATATCCCTCACGCAATGTTAATACAGCAATATGATGCTCCTTTACCCAAAATCTAATCCCCTTGAAGCAGAAATTTTTCCTCAAACCACGAAAGTTTGACCCCACGAAAATAACTGGTTTTACAGTTATTGTGTAACTATATTCCATATATATCAGTTTAAAACCTTTAATGATTACGAGATAATTACACTTTTCAAAAATGACATACGTATTTAAGTGTTCAGATATATCACATATTTTAGTAACTTTAAATGAAACTTTAGCTTTCATGTTGCACTAAAAAAACTTTAGCTACGACTGTCCTGGAAGGAATTATACCACGACAAGGCAAGGGTAGACTTTATTTGTTAAAATTACTTTTTAAAAATTTATCAAGATAAAGTTTTTTGATAAATTCTAACCAGATGTGTCACCATTACAAATGCACAGGATAAAAAAATAACAGTTCTTAATTTAGAGCATTTAAAAGAGCGCAGTAAAATTTCTTTCTTTCTTACCGTGAAACCAAACAGTGAACATGGATGATAGTTATCCACTAGACAGAAGCAGGGGGAAGGGGGGAGGGGTAAACGAAGAAATACATATAATCTTCATTACATTAAACGGCTAGAATTTTCTTTTTTTAAGTTCTAAAGTCATATGGACCGTAATTTTGCATATTTTGGCTATGCAAAGGGTATAATTGATATTTCTTTTTAATAAAAATCTCCCTCAAGAAATTCTCGTTAATTTTGTCAAACACATCGAAATGCCAAACATTACATGTAAGAAAGACAACCATGACCATACATTATACACTACAAATAGATGCAGCTAATCTAATGACCCCCGTTTTGTATTGTTTAAAACCAGTTTTTCTTTGGCTACCATATTTATTTCTAATAATTACAATATTTTTTTATAACACATACGTAAAATTAAGGACCACATGACACGTAAAAAATATGTGGACAATGACCAGTTAAAGATAGTTATATTTCACAGTGCCATATTCATGATTATTTACTCTTTCAGAAAACAAATATAGAAACGCAGAAAAACATCAAACGTATAAGAAAACCTACCGTTTGTTGGAAGCTGTGAGCCATCAGTTGTTCCTGTTCCTGGCAAAGATTTTACGTTAAAAGATTTTAAATTAAATACTACAAACCAAATTATAGAACTTTTTTTAAAAAGAAAATAAAATTAGTTGCTGAATATATTAATCTTTATTAAAAAAAGTTAAAAGTTTCTCCCATCAAATTATTGACACAAATAACATGTATTATTCTTTCCTTTTAATCTTCAGCGTTTATTATTACTTGTTTCTTTTTAATGCTCTTAGAATTGATAGTATGAAAGGTCTCTTTCATATCGAGGCATAACCCAGTATACACAAGCAAATATGCCGGGAGTAAGAATATGTTTGTTATATTTTCACAATTTCCTAAACTAATAACTATTTTCAGTGTCATGCAACACAGATAAAAGAGTGAAATGGTTTGTGCAAAATTTAAGAAATTCTTCCTGTGTCATTGATATTGGACAATATGATGTAATAACATGTGGTCCTCAACATTCATATGAGTGTGTAAACGTGTGCCACAAGAGATCTCTATTGCATGATATATTGCTTTGAAGGGAAAGCAAATAAATTGCTTAATGCTGCGTCATAACTTAATCAAATCATTATTTAATTTTCATAATGTAAAAAAAATATTAGTTTGACTGTAAATACAATTATACATTTTCATTTCAAATCTTTGGAATAAGTAAAACTTTAAAATACATCTACTATTGCAAAGAAACCTCAAGTGTTAATAAGGATAGTTAAGTATATTAATAAAATATAAATAGTTAAGTGTATTATGGCATTTAATCCATACGTTCAATCGAATTGAAATATTTTTGGCAAAATGTTGAAATCAGAATACAGTCAAAATAATTTGCTTTTTTACATTTACAATTGAAATGAATTCTTTCCGTAATTATACTATTAATGTTACAATAAGGACTTCGCTTGAACGTATAAGTAATAAATGAAAATAATTTCAGGGTTAAATATAGAATATACATGTACATGAATATCAATGTTCATACCAGTAGGAAACGAAAACGGGGAAATCGAATCAATAGCTATTAAAAAAAAATATTTCAAATTATATCAATGTTAAATGAATAATTTTTTTAAGAAGATAATTTCTATTTTTGTACATTGTATCTAATCTTACCGGATCCTCCTTGTCCTTGACCTTGACCTGCAAGAAGGCCTGAAAAAAGTATTAAGTTATGCAAATAATTTTTTTTAAATGGCAATTTAAAATTATTACATGGATGCTCATAAAAATGCACCTTTAATATAATATCATATGAGTTTAATTATTGATGAATATCGACATAACACATTACTCATGACATAAGAATCAATGTGTAATGAAATAGATAGAGGATATTCAATGTTTTGTAGATGAATATGGAATTTATTTCACGAGTGGGACAGGATTTTTTTATATTTTCACGAGTGCGAAGCACGAGTGAAAATATCAAAAAATCCTTCTCACAAGTGAAATAAAATTCCATATTCATCTACAAAACATTTAATTTTCTGTTTATTACATTTTCTTTGATTTTCCCTTTGCCTCTGTCTTTTCTTAACACAGTGTCATAGGCTTGACGTCATAATTGAGCGGTTGAGACGTCATAGCTTAGAAGTTGTGTGTCAGATTGAAAACATTAAATAGCATGGATTTTAGCAACAAATTTAGGAAGAAATTTGCAGTTTTAGCTCTATCAAGATGCTTAGTTACTATATCTATCTTATGACAGGCCAGAAATTATTTTTTACTTACTTTGATATCCTTTCACACTGTGAGGGAAAATCATTTTTGGTATTCTTTCACACTGTGAGAGAATATCACTTTTATTCAATAAATAAATCACAGTATTTCACTGTTGAAAATGTAATAAATGAAGATAGCGAATAGTAACCGATCTCAAAAAGGGCATAATACATACGGACCTATAGAAATTCCATAGGTATGATACTTAAAAAGCAAAACAAATAATACAAATTCATTACCTTTGTATTAATTTTAAACAAACCGGTATAAGGATGATCCTATTTTGATTCATGCTAATGATTGCTAGTCCAATTTTACTACGATATGTAATTACTATCAAAGTTGGAAATTGAATTTGGTATGAAAAGGCTTCACATTCAATTTAAAAACATCAAGTTCTCGGGAAAAAAAAAAACATTTTTGTTAATGTTTACATGTGCCAATAAGAGAGGGTGCTCTATATTTTAACATCAAGTACCACAACTGAAAAGAGGTGTGTTCCATTGTTGTTGAGTTAAAATATAAAATAAATATACTGTAAAGACGAGTTCACAAAAAATACTATACATTATGTATAGCTTAAAATGTAATATTTATCCAAAGAAATAAATGTTATCAACATAAAAAGGTGAAAAAATAAATTTAGAAAATGGTACTATGCCATGAAAAAATGGTAATTTACTTTCAATAATGTTCCTCTAAACTGGTGGTACGTATCAAAATGACATGAAATAAAAGGCCAAATAATCCTTAATGATTGGGAACTTCTTAAAGATGAGTACTAGTAGTTAATCTTTATTTCTGAACCCACTTTAAATATCCTTATTTTGTATATAATTACTAATATTGCTTATTTCAAATTATCATTATGCTGTTAAGCGAAACTTCGAGTTGTACGATATTGTTATTTATATTAAAGAATTGTTTATTAACTTTCAAAAATATTTTATCTAAAATTAATCAACGGTGAGAGAATTTAATCACACACAGATGATGAATGAAAATGTTAAAGATTGATTTTCTCTTGAAAAAACTGAGTTGTTTAAATTTTATTAACTTTATTGGCATAATAATTCAGAAAGATACGATTTACAAAAAAAAACATTAAAAAGATATATAAAAGAGATGAAATCCCAACAAAAGTAATGAATATCAACGACAACATTTTTAATTGCATTAAGCATTGGTAAGTATTCGGTTTTGCAAATTAGCGAAAAAATAATACATTGTTTTATTTGAATAACATCTCATGTTAAGAACATATGACAAAAATTAACAATATAAGCATTTTCACAAGAATCTTAAAGCTTGGCAATACATTCATTAGCAGGTGCATTGTACCTTGATTAAACTGAGGAGGATTCCCTTGTAGTTGAGCTAGGATAGCAAATTCATATTTTTAAACTATTAGTATACAACTAAAACGTTGAAAAAAATCTTAGTCCGAATTTTTGAATTTCACAGTATATGTTTAAATGCTTAAATATGATCACCTGTCCGGTAATGATTAACAAAATATTAATTTGATGTTGAAGGTGTAACATAAGCATTGTGCAAGTGTAGCTATCTTTCCTTGAAGCAATGCTGTAATGACCTACTTTATTTTTTTTTCTTTTTGAAATAATCATATTCATATGTATGTTGTTTATGGAAACATCAATTTGTATGAATTTATTACTTATAAGCAATTATTTTTCTTTCAAGTCTCATCTAAAATTATTCAACCGTGAAAGAATTTGATTAAGATGTTAGAAATTCCCCTTTAAAAGAAACCTGGAGGTTTTAAATATACCGAGTTTCTAATACCAACAAGAATCCCGACCATGAACATCAAAGACTGCCATTTTATATGCTTTAGGCATTTATAACCTTTTTGTCTTCATGTCAGCAGAAAAACTATAACATGTGATTTTTATATAATTGAAAGCATCTCCTTTTTTTGGTTAAAAAAACAGAAAACAGAAATTAACAAAAGAAGCATTAATTTCACAAAAATTTGGGCACATACATTTACATGTTACATGCACACATTGATTCGCAGGTGCATTGTACCTTGATTAAACTGAGGAAAGTTTCCTTGTTGTTGAGCTAGAATAGCAAATTATTATTTATGAGCTAAGGATGCTTATGTGTTTTATTTCTGGTTCTGTTTATAAAAATATTTCTGACTGATAACAAATGATCTCAAATGTTTTCGCGGCATACGTTTTAATGCTTTTCTGGTTATATTTACGAAAATATATTCTTACACCAAAAAGAACAAAAATGCACAAGTATTGTGAACAGTATAACGACAAAAATTCAAGTGTTTTCTTTTTCTTTTTCGAAGTACCTATAGTCATTGTCAGTTGAATATGGGTAACTATAAAGGACGAAAAATGTAAGAACTTGTTTTAAATCATGCTTTTGTATCAAAAGGTCTGTTGATCAAATAATTTGACATAAATAGTCGAATGTTTTGAATAATAATACTTTAGAAATGTAAAACAATCTTTAACTAGAAATATGTCCATAGGACATCATGAATGTTCCACCTAGGGTTCATTAGTGATACAGCATGAAATTTGATGTTTGATTTATTGATTGATTGTTGTTTAACGCCAAATCGGCAGTATTTCAGCAATATATGGTTGATATGAAGTTTGATGAAATATTATGAATTTTGATGAAAATGTTTTGAATAGTTTCGTTAAAATGAGTTTTATAGACAATAAAAAGTAATGTCAAAGGTCATTGGCAAGGTAAAAGTAACTTATAAGTGCATAAGCTTACATAAAATTTCTTAAATACTTTCTTTGAAACTGATCTAAAAGCAAGATAAAGAAAAGTAAGGTCAAGGTCATACATTTTTGGTTAAAATGTTCTCATTGTTAAATAGTTCTCACCAATATCTATCAGTACATGTATGTGTGTTTAGATAACAATAGCTTCTTTGAAACTGAGCTAAATGCAAATTTGAGAAAAATGTTGTCAAGGTCAAAGGAACGGTCAAGGTCAATAATGTTGATGCAGATGAATAGGTCTCACCAATTAATATCAGCATATGAAATTTCATAAATTTACCTTGAATAGTTTCTTCGAAACTAAGCTAAACACAAATTTAAGAAAGTGAGGTAAAGTTGAAAAAAAAAGGTCAAGGTAAAAAATTTTGATGAAGTTGTATAGTTCTAATATGTACCAGCATATGAAGTAAACAAATATATCTTGAATAGTTTCTTCGAAACAGCTAAATAATTTTTTTTTAAATGACGTCAAGGTCAAGCGAAAGGTCAATGTCAAAAATGTTGATACAGTTGAATAGCTCTTATTAGTATGTATCAGCAAATGAAGTAAAACATACAGTATAGCTATAATGATTTCTCCGAAACTAAGCTAATCACAAATTTAAGAAATGTGAGGTTAAGATCAAACAAAAGTCAAGGTCGAAAATGTCGAGTCAGTTGCATAATTTTATCAATATGTATCAGCATATGAAGTTTAACAAATGTACCTAGAATAGTTTCTTCGGAACTGAGCTAAACACTACTTTAAGAAAAGTGAGGTCAAGTATAAACGAGGGTCAATGTCAAAAATGTTGATGCAGTATAGTTCTTATCAATACGTATCAGCATATGAAGTTAGACAACAGTACCTTGAAAAGTTTCTTCGAAACTGAGCTAAACACAAATTTTAGAAAAGTGAGGTCAAGGTCAAAGGAAAGATTAATGTAAAAAAGTTGAAGTAGTTAAATAGCTCTCATCAATATGTATCAGAACATGAAGTTTGATAAAAATATCTTGAATAGTTCTTTGAAACTGAGTTTAACGCAAAGTGAGACCGACGGAAGGACAGGACGAAGGACGGAAGACGGACATGACAAATACTATATGCCCCGGTCATATTCATGAAGGAGCATAAAAATCCTGATTTGATCTGCATGTATCTTTCTTGATCCAAAAATGAAATAATCTTGTGTAATTTTATCATCACATATGTTGGGAGTACAACGTCAAACTGTACTAACTGGACATTTACGAACAATCATCTTTTTAGATAATTTCATCTTAAATTAATCCTTCGTGAAAGAATTTGAAAATTCCAAACGGTGATTGGAAAAAGTAAGAACTTGAAAAAACAAAATGTGCGTAATATTTAAATTAAATTCATTAAAATAAACATATAATGAAGATAAAAATAAAAGAAAATAAAAAAAAAAGATACTGCAGTGTTAATACAAAACAAGAGGCCCATGGGCCACATCGCTCACCTGAGTAACTTTGGCCATGCTGTTCATTACCAGACTTCCCCCCTTGTAATACTTATTGTGGCCCCGCCCTACCCCCAGGGTCCATGATTTGAACAATTTAGAATCTACACTACCCCAGGATGCTTCCACATAAGTTTCAGTTTTTCTGGTCCAGTGGTTCTTGAGAAGATTTTTAAAGATTTTTCCTATATATTTCAATGTAAAACTTGGGATTCCCTATTGTGCCCCCCCCCCCCATCCCCGGGGTCATGATTTGAACAATTTAGAGTGTACACTACTTGAGGATGCTTCCACATAAGTTTCAGCTTTTCTGGCTAAGTGGTTCTTGAAAAGAAGATTTTTAAAGATTTTTCCTTTATATTTCAATGTAAAACTTGTATTCCCTATTGTGGCCCCGCCCTACCCCCGGGGGTCATGATTTTAACAATTTAGAATCAACACTACCCCAGGATGCTTCCACATAAGTTTCAGCTTTTCTGGCTCAGTGGTTCTTGAGAAGAAGATTTTTAAAGATTTTTCCTATATATTTCAATGTAAAACTTGGATTCCCTATTGTGGCCTTGCCCTACCCCCGGGGGTCATGATTTTAACAATTTAGAATCTACACTACCCTAGGATGCTTCCACATAAGTTTCAGCTTTTCTGGCTCAGTGTTTCTTGAGAAGAAGATTTTTAAAGATTTTTCCTATATATTTCAATGTAAAACTTGGATTCCCTATTGTGGCCTCGCCCTACCCCCGGGGGTCATGATTTTAACAATTTAGAATCTACACTACCCCAGGATGCTTCCACATAAGTTTCAGCTTTTCTGGCTAAGTGGTTCTTGAGGAGAAGGCTTTTAAAGATTTTTCCTATATATTTCAATGTAAAACTTGGATTCCCTATTGTGGCCCCGCCCTACCCCCGGGGGTCATGATTTTAACAATTTAGAATCTACACTACCCCAGGATGCTTCCACATAAGTTTCAGCTTTTCTGGCTCAGTGTTTCTTGAGAAGAAGATTTTTAAAGATTTCTCCTATATATTTCAATGTAAAACTTGGATTCCCTATTGTGGCCTCGCCCTACCCCCGGGGGTCATGATTTTAACAATTTAGAATCTACACTACCCTAGGATGCTTCCACATAAGTTTCAGTTTTTCTGGCTCAGTGGTTCTTGAGAAGAAGATTTTTAAAGATTTTTCCTATATATTTCAATGTAAAACTTGAATTCCCTATTGTGGCCCCGCCCTACCCCTGGGGGTCATGATTTTAACAATTTAGAATCTACACTACCCAAGGATGCTTCCACATAAGTTTCAGCTTTTTTGGCTAAGTGGTTCTTGAGAAGAAGATTTTTAAAGATTTTTCCTTTATATTTCAATGTAAAACTTGGATTCCCTATTGTGGCCTCGCCCTACCCCCGGGGGTCATGATTTTAACAATTTAGAATCTACACTACCCCAGAATGCTTCAACATAAGTTTCAGCTTTTCTGGCTAAGTGGTTCTTGAGAAGAAGATTTTTAAAGATTTTTCCTATATATTTCAATGTAAAACTTGGATTCCCTATTGTGGCCCCGCCCTACCCCCGGGGGTCATGATTTTAACAATTTAGAATCCACACTACCCCAGGATGCTTCAACATAAGTTTCAGCTTTTCTGGCTAAGTGGTTCTTGAGAAGAAGATTTTTAAAGATTATTCCTATATATTTCAATGTAAAACTTGTATTCCCTACTGTGGCCCCGCCCTACCCCCGGGGGTCATGATTTTAACAATTTAGAATCTACACTACCCAAGGATGCTTCCACATAAGTTTCAGCTTTTCTGGCTCAGTGGTTCTTGAGAAGAAGATTTTTAAAGATTTTTCCTATATATTTCAATGTAAAACTTGTATTCCCTACTGTGGCCCCGCCCTACCCCCGGGGGTCATGATTTTAACAATTTAGAATCTACATTACCCAAGGATGCTTCCACATAAGTTTCAGCTTTTCTGGCTCAGTGGTTCTTGAGAAGAAGATTTTTAAAGATTTTTCCTATATATTTCAATGTAAAACTTGTATTTCCTATTGTGGCCCCGCCCTATCCCCGGGGGTCATGATTTTAACAATTTAGAATCTACACTACCCCAGGATGCTTCCATATAAGTTTCGGCTTTACTGGCCCTGTGGTTCTTGAGAAGAAGATTTTTTAATGACCCCACCCTATTTTTGTCTTCTCTTGATTATCTCCCCTTGTGAGGAGACTTGGCCCTTCAATTTAACAATTTAAATTCCCCTTCACCCAAGGATGCTTTGTACCAAGTTTGGTCGAAATTGGCCCAGTGGTTCTTGAGAAGAAGTCAAAAATGTGAAAAGTTTACAGACGGACGGACAGACAGACAGACAGACGGACAGACGGACGGACGGACGACGGACAAAATGTGATCAGAAAAGCTCACTTGAGCCTTTGGCTCAGGTGAGCTAAAAAGCTTGACAAAATATCAAAGAATTAAGTTTTATATGCTTTAAGCGTTAATAAGTATGTCTTGCAAATAAACGATAAAAATAAATTCCTACAAATATTATAAAATTGAAAATTTCCTCTGTTAAGTACATGAGAGAGAGAAAAAATACATGTATTTTATAAGATGTTTTTGTCATGACATGTTAGTATTGATTAGTAGGTGTATCTACCTTGATTAAACGGAAAATTTCCTTGTTGTTGAGCTATAATAGCAAATTATAATTATTTGTTTTTATTATGTTTCTCATTTGTTTTATTATGTTTTGCATAGATTTATGAAAAACATCTAATATGTTTTAATATGAAATAGGTCCTTATTATTCAAGGCATAATGTTAGGTCTTACCAATGATTACTAAACATCACAATTAAAAATAAGAATTGAAGTATATATATATTTTTTTTTTTTTGAGAAACATCAATTAAGCCATACACTGTATTAGCTATTGTGAAGTCAGGACTATTATTGTTTTACATAAGATTATCTCCATTTTTAGAAACATAAGTCGATTTGCATTTCAGAATCTTTAAATAGTAACACAAGTCTATATCCTGTTATATATCTGGTCATGTGATCAAGTTTAAGCCAATCAGAGAGCTTGGAATAAATGAGAATAATAATATTGGTGTATATTCCAGCTTGAGTGCATGCAAGTTACATAGAATTTATGATTTTCTTTCTTTTGATTGTCCTTTTTATCACGTATAAACATACATTAAAAATATATAATTGAAGGAAAATGCACACATATTTATTTAAAAAATTAAAATAGTGCTTGAAAAGACCAGAATTAAAAACTGTGAAAAGTTTGGTCAGGTGGATTCGAACCACAACTCTAAAAACGTTTCTGCGGTTTCAAATGTCAGCATTATAACCATCTGAGCTATTCTGACTAAAAAAAGCATGAAACAGGTTGTCAAAAACAGGTTTCCTTATTTTTGTAAGTTTGTAAATGTCCACCCCAGGGCAGGGATGCCCCTAAAATAATCCTATTTATATACTCGTTAGATCATAACCTATCAAAACATATTTATTTAGGAGTCCTGAAGAATTCTAGGATAAAAATTCATGCAAAAATCCGTGCTTTAATGGGAATAACTGTTGTTTAAATCTTATTTTTAAAGACATTTACTAATTTTAAAATTGCAAATAATAAATCTTAGGTTCATAATGCAAATTTGAAATATTTAAACATATACACTGTACAAAATAACTAATGAACTCTGATATTTTTAATGAGACTTTTGGAAATTGTTCTCTCCTATAGGTTAATTCTTTTGAAATTCGAATTCATTCTTTAATCTTGAAACTTCCCGATTTTGTTCAGAACGTGCAACAGAAATAATCATTACAAGTGTTTCCAAAGAATTTTGCATGTATGTATTGATTAGTAGGTGCATTGTACCTTGACTAAATGGAGGAAAGTTTCCTGGTTGTTGAGCTAGAATTACAAATTAATAATACTTATCTTATAGGTCAATTCTTTCTAAATTCTGAATACATTCTATTATCGAATTGAATCTTCCTGATTTTGTTCTTGTCTTGAGACAAAAGTTAACAATACAAGTGTTTCCAGAGAAATTTTGACATTACATGTAAGCATCGATTAGTAGGTGCATCGTACCTTGACTAAATGGAGGAAAGTTTCCTTGTTGTTGAGCTAGAATAGCAAATGAATAACATCTTTCAGCTTTACAATGAAAAAAACTGAAAAATGAATTGCACAAATATTTTTGCAGCAGAAATTTGAATGCTAAAATATAATAGCTTTCTTCTTAATGTTTACGAAAATGAAAATATATTCTGACATGAAAATTCCTAAAAGCATTGCGCAAAATGTATTTGGGCAGAAATTGTGTTTTATTTACAGTATTCATTGTCAATTGCACATCAGTACTTATACTTAAAATCTTATACTTAAAATCTTGTGAATAATCTTCACAATTCTGATTTTACTTGTATTTCTTCGTAGCAATAATATAATATCCTAATTGAAATTATGTCGTTAGGTGTAACATCAAATTGTATAAGTTAGATATTTATAATTATTTACTTTTCTTATCTGGTTAATTGTTATCATCTAAATATAATTAATTGTGATAAAAATTTGATTATTCTAGATTATGAATTGAAATGTCTTTAAGCATTTTGAAATCACTGGAATTAACATAGGATAAAAATTTCTTTTAAAACATTTTAAAAAAGGAACTTTTATTGAGGTGTTATACTATCAACAACCTACCGAAAATAATCAAAAACACTAACTACACTGTGAATATTATCCAATACAAGCATTTTCACACGCATGTTGCCACTAACATGTATACAATGATTCGCGGGTGCATTGTACCTTGATTAAACTGCGGAGGATTTCCTTGAAGTTGAGCTAGAACAAATGAACTATTTTTCAGTCATACATTGACTAATACATTGAGAAGAAATGACATAAATCTTAAAAAGTTTTCACAGCAGACTTTTGAATTTTCAAATATAATCAATATATTGTGCAAAGAGCATTTAGATAGAAAAATATTGTTTCATTTACAGTACTCAGTTGACAACTGGTAAAAAAATCTGTTGTTTTGTTTTTGATAGACCTACTCTTTTTAAAAGTGATAATTTTTATTCTAATTTCTTGAAATTATTTAGATCCTCTGTAATTAACAATCCTCAATAATTGTATAATTGTAAAATGATCTTAATCCTGATTCGATATAATTTGGCGTACACCCTAGTGTATTTCAAATTATCATTTACCGTTGAAAGGAGTAAAGTTATGATTTTGTTAATAATCATCAATAACAGACAAACAAATGTTTGATTTCATCCTCAAAAACCGAAGGTGTTAAAAATTTTATTGAACTCGTTGAAATAAACATATCATTATACATGTATATGATTCACAAAAAGGCATTACAAATACTAAGGTGATATCACCAACAAAAGTTCTGAAGAAAAGTTTTAAGGATTTGTTTTATATGCTTTGGGTATTACACTCTGTCTTAAATCTTTTTGTCCTAATAATTTTATAATAACCCTGTGGATATCATCCAAATGAAGCTTTCTCTTACCATTTAGAACATAAAACAGATATAATCAAACAAGCATTTTCGCAGGATTTTTCGCACATACATTTATACACTGATTGGCAGGTGCATTGTACCTTGATTAAACTGAGGAAAGTTTCTTTGTTGTTGAGCTAGAATAGCAAATTTATTTCTTTTAAAGTTAATTATTCATAATTTTTAAAACCGTGCTTTGGATATTACACTCTGTCTTAATTTTTTCCCTAATAATTTTATGATAACCCTGTGGATATCATCCAAATGAAGCGTTCTCTTAAAATATAGAACATAAAACAGATATAATCAAACAAGTATTTTCACAAGATTTTTAGCACATACATTTATGCACTGATTAGCAGGTGCATTGTACCTTGATTAAACTGAGGAAAGTTTCCTTGTTGAGCTAGAATAACAAATTTATTACTTTTAAGGTTAATTATTTGTAATTTTTAAAACCGTGCTTTGGGTATTATATTAATATTGTCTTAAATCTTTTTGTCCTAATAATTTTATAATAACCCTGTGAATATCATTCAAATAAAGCTCTCTCTTACTATTTAGAACATAAGACAGAAAAAAATCAAAACAAGCATTTTTACAAGATTTTTTAGTACATACATTTATGCACTGATTAGCAGGTGCATTGTACCTTGATTTAACTGAGGAAAGTTTCCTTGTTGTTGAGCTAGAATAGCAAACTTATACTTTTAAAGCTAATTATTTATAATTTTAAAATCGTGCTTTGGATATTACACTCTGTCTTAATTTTTTCCCTAATAATTTTATGATTACCCTGTGAATATTACCCAAATGAAGCGTTCTCTTAAAATATAGAACATAAAACAGATATAATCAAACAAGCATTTTCACAAGATTTTTAGCACAAACATTTATGCACTGATTAGCAGGTGCATTGTACCTTGATTAAACTGAGGAAAGTTTCCTTGTTGAGCTAGAATAACAAATTTATTACTTTTAAGGTTAATTATTTGTAATTTTTAAAACCGTGCTTTGGGTATTATATTGTCTTAAATCTTTTTGTCCTAATAATTTTATAATAACCCTGTGAATATCATTCAAATAAAGCTCTCTCTTAAATGTACTATTTAGAACATAAGACAGAAAAAAAATCAAACAAGCATTTTTACAAGATTTTTAGCACATACATTTATGCACTGATTAGCAGGTGCATTGTACCTCGATTAAACTGAGGAAAGTTTCTTTGTTGTTGAGCTAGAATAGCAGATTTATTATTTTTAAAGCTAATTATTTGTAATTTTTAAAACATTTCACCTCTGTCACTATTACACAGTACCTCCAACACCGTGAAAAAGACTTTAAATACTAAAACATTTAAATGTATGCAATTAAGAATTAAGAATGGAAAAGACCGCAAAAGCAGACACGAAGGAAGCAGATGGACGGGTGGATGGGGTACCCCCTTCAGTAAAATGTGACTTTGGGAGTCTTGAAAGTAGATGGGACTGTAATAGGACAATATTCTTCGATCAGACAATTTAGAATGTCCAATTTTCTTTTCGAAAAAGGATAGAATGGATAAAAGTACACTTTCAAAAACGTCAAAAGCCGAACACCAATTTGATAGAAATCTGTTGCATATATGAAAAATTGTATATTAGTAACTTACCGTTTCCTGGGAACTGTCCTTGTGTGCCTGGACCAAATAAATATAGTGCAGTGAATATATATTATTAAAACAAAGAAAGAAAGCAAAATTGTTATTTACAAACACATTTCTGTAAACCTTTATACAAAAGTACAAGCTTACTCATTTTCATTTTAAAGAAATATACAGCCAATATATATATATATATATATATATATATATATATATATATATATATATATATATATATATATATATATACATCATAAGACATTGTTAAGAGGTGTTGCGTAGCTTTGGGTAACATTAAAAAATGCACCCATCACCATAAGGGAAGCCAAACGACAAAAGATAATTTAATAAAAATATTGATAAACTGATACAATGCAATGTATTCTTATGCGATATCAAATATGTATATTTTTCATTATACATTTAAGCTAGCTGAACTGGTATTGTTTTAAAGATTCCTAGACTTTTCTATGAATGTCGAATATGTAAGCCCCTTCATGCATTTACATTTTTATTAAAATATGCGATGACAAAGGTATGTTTCATAGAAAAATAAACTGTATAGTTGTGAAATAAATATAAGATTTTGAGATCTATCAAGCAAGTGTTTTTGTAATATATACTACACTAAATATATAACTGCTTGTTCCTATTCAATCAAATGACACTCTTTTTTCAATGCTTTTTCCTCAAGTTCTGATATCACATACATGTAGCAAATATTTGTTTTATCTTTATTCATAGTTTAAGTGGTAGAACATATTTATTAAAGAAAAAAAGAGATGTTGTGATCATTCGATAAATAAAACAAGCATTTTATATAAGTACATGTATGGGAAAAAATCTAAGTGCTGAATAACAGGTGAAAGTACTAAAACAAAAGTGATAAAGTACATTCAATCCATGTATATTCATACCTATAGGAAGTGATAACGGAGGTATCGAATCAAAAGCTAGAAAAATTTAGTAATAAATGACTGATTAATGTTCAATTAAAGCATCCATCAGTAAACAGTAAAAACAAAATTATCAAATCATAATAAATAAATAAAATTTAAATGTTTATAGTCTTACCAAGTCCATCTTGTCCTTGCCCTCCCTGTCCTACAAGGACGAGTATTCTAACATAGTAATACAATCCATAATAAAATGAATTATTCGAATATTTAGGTGAGTATAAAAACTAAATGATTTACTCATGTTACTAATGATTTTTTTTTTCAGAAAATTCCAAAACATGATATTACACATTATGTTTCGCCTTTACACTATGACCCAATCATATAGTTTACGATTTTTATCATACTAAAACTGAGAACCCTTATGTACAATTGCACTTTTAACACAAATGTTCCCGTAAATGGCATTTAACATTCTGAATTCTTTCAATTCTAATCAATTTACTATTTTGAAAGTTTTTTAGTCAATCGTATGACAAATTTTTCTTTGCAAGAAACATAACTATCAAAGGAGTGTGTTTTAAAAGGAGCAATGCATTTTATAAAAATAATAATCAATAATTTGTTTTTATTGAATTGGATGCAATGATTATCAGAAGAAAAGCTTTCTCTATAAGATTCGTACATGTACCTCCAGCTCCATTCAAAAACTGTGGTTGTTGGAATTGAAATTGTTGCCCTGCAAAATTATCTAAATTTATACGAAAATAAGTTTCATCTCTATAAGAGCCAGAATTCAGTTTAATGGGCATTATAGAATTGTTTTAATTGGCATTTTAAGTTATGAAAATAATCTCCTTACCTGTAAAAGATCCCGGAAATCCTGGCCTTCCTGAAATTTAAATCATTAAAATCTCCTGACAGAAGCATTCATAGTAACAATGTTTATTTGAAATTTAAAGTTCATATATATCATTTAGAGAATTTAGATTAGTTTAAGAGGAAATACTATACATAATTAAATGTGACATAATTGAAAGTTCTGCATTCAATGATATTTGGAACTCTATGTAAATGAAAATGTTTTTTAATAAATGTTAAAAGACTTAATTATATATATATTGTAATTAAAAACTATATTTAAAACAAGGTATAACTTGTCTTAAGTAATATGCTATTTCTTTGTATTTTTTTTTACACATAATTAATATCTCCATGCTTCATATACTAGATTTTACTTACCGCCTAATTGTGGGAGGAAGGGTGGTCTGCCTGAAAACAGAAAACTGGGAATATAATTGGCATAATCCCAAGTTTTATCTTTATCTCTTACAAAACAAATAATATATGGATAAATCTTTACAGCTGTACACTCCATGCCGCAGTGCATTACAGATATATCAACTTTTTATTGGGTTGACAATAACTAAAAGCATTTTGTATGTCAAAGAAAGTTTTGTATGCCTACTGGTAAAAAGCTGGATACTTTTAAATATTTAAATGTTACACACATACAAAAAAAGAATTTTTTTACTTTGAATACTTCGTTATCTAATATAAAAAGCTTATCGAAACTGGAAGTGCAACATATAATAAAGCAGTGAGGTTTTTTAATGTATCAACAGGTCTTTTTCTTTTTCACAAAAAAAAAAAAACTTTATGTACTAATTTAATGCCTTTTATTTTCTTTTTCTTAAAACAAATTAAAAAAAAAATAATTCTGGAAATCAAAAAATAAACAATTGTCCACGTGAATTCTTAGGTTTGTTTTTGTTTGTTTGTTATCGTTTTTTTTTTAATTTTCACCTTTAATTTAAAAATAGTTGACCTGTTAACAAAGTCCCCTCTCAAAAAAGTATTCCTTTTAACTTGTAGTATTAAAAAAAGTCCGAATAGCATGAACCAGAGGTGGTTGTCATTACCATTGCTTTCTTCATCTCAAAATTATCCATTTATATACATCTTTTATTTAATTATAATGGCTCTTCACTAGATACTAAATTCTATATCTAAGTATTGATTTTCTAAATATTAAAAACTATATATCCTTTTTAAAAGTTGAAAAACTTCAACCGTTAAAGGCATTCTGGTTACATAAAGTTAAATTGTTTGAAATGAATCCGATATGATATATATTGACACCACCAATATATATATATTTATATATATTCTGTGAAATCACAATTTTCGTGGGATTTATGTTCTTGGTTGGCTTGTTTTTTTTTTGTTTTTTTTTGTTTTTTGTTTTTTGTTTGTTTGTTTGTTTGTTTGTTTGTTTTTTTTGGTATGAAGAGACCCACGAATTCATGACCTCAGTGAAATGTAAAACATATTAAACTTCAAATCCCCACAAACCAGGATTTTTTTCTTTAACCATGAAAATTTGACCCCACGAAAATATGTGATTTTCCAGTACATAAGTTTAAAATGCATACTGTATAAGAAAAGAATAACTCGCAGGATTAATTTTCGCTTCATAAGTGCTCCTTACAAATCTACATATTCAGGAAACAGAAAATAATTTATTATGTTTAAAAATTATCATAAATACAAAACAAACTTGAAGTTTGTGTAAGTTCAGACACCCTGAATTAAGTGCCATAGGGAAAATTGTCAAAATTATACACCTGCGAATTTAAATCTCTATACAGTACACAATTGTGTTCACCAGATAGAAACACCATTCAATCTAAGGAACATTCTAATCTTTAAACTCGTACTTCAGCTTCAGTCACACTAGATATAATACAGATGGTGTATAGAAAGTGACTAATATATGGTTTGTAATATTCTATGGTGCTTTTAAGGTTTAATACAAAGGTGCTCGTGTGATCACAAATACCTGGGAATGGCAAAAATGGAGGAAAGCCTCCTGTGAAAGATAATTATTGTTATTTGGAAGAATGAACTAAGTTTTCTGAAATTCAATGCATGTCTTTGATAAACGAAACATATTTATCATTCAAAAATACAAAACTGATCCGTGAAAATATGAAAAAAGATGATCTTTCATACCTCTAAATGGCACAAATGGAATTTGTCCAGGTTGCCCAAATGGGGGAAATGCTTCATGAATGAGATAAAAGTAAGGTATTTGATATATTTATCGAATTATGATTTTTTTTTAATTAAAGTATGCTACTTAAAAATTAATTTGACCTTTCTTAACGAAAAAAATGTGAAATACTTATATAATACAAAACTGAAAAGAGGCTTATTTGTTATGGCCGAAATTATACAATTACTGAATAATCTTATCAATGAAACGTGTTTTCATGCTACTATTGATGAACTGAAGCTATCGAATGACACTTACGTCCCCTAGGTGGGGGGAAAAATGGTCTTTGGAATGGGTTTCCTCCACCTGTCGTAATTAAATAAAAGCATAATTATGATTAGAGCGAGCGCAGCGAGCTTTACACACCGTCAACAAATTAAAACCTCATGTTTCAAATATGTTCCTTGGAGGAAAACATATTTATATTTAATTTTATTAAAATCATATCCTTTGATCCGCTCACATATATCGCTTAGGGATATAATTTTAACCAGATTGATTTAAATTAAAAGCGAGCGCAGCGAGAGGCGCGAAGCATGTAGAATAGTGTGTGAACAGGGTGAATTCGAGTCGAAATCGAAAAGTATATATATTGCGTCCATATGAAAAATGTTTTAGTCCTTACATCATAGAAACAACTTACTTAAAAGGTTTGTAAGAAAATATAGGATTATAATCTTTCTGTCATAAAAAACTTCAAATCAAATCAAATTTTTCTGGGGGGAGGTGTCCCGATTTGTCGGAAAAGTCCAAGAAATTTAAACCTTTCGAGTTTTGGGGTGTCTTTAAAATGTGAGAAAATGTTTAGTTCATAGTAAACGTGTGAATATTGATAAGAAAGTTATGAATCTAAACACACACACACACACACACACAAACCACGGAACTTTTACCTAACAAAGTAACATGAGCTAAGCTATGAGTTCTACTAAGCACTTATTTATTTAAATTCATTTAAATCAACTGAAATAAATGAAACCTAATTCAGAGAATTGTTTCCCTGCTTAATTAAAGGAAAAGAGGAAGATGGAAGAAGTTAGAAATATGCAGACGGAGAAAAAAGGACAACCTTGATATTTCAGCTTTTTGCCTTAAAGTCATTTAGAGTTGTTTTAAATGAAAGAAATTCATGTCTTAAGTTTCATTACAAAAGCTTGCAGACAACTTAAGTTATCACCTGAAATGTATGTATGCAATATACAAATTTCTGATTTGGGTTTTTGACCGTTTGGCCTCAGAATCAATAGGAAGCCTTTTTAAAGTCTTTTGAATAAAGGTATAAAAGAAGATGGGTGAACAAGGCGGGCGAAGTGCCTATAGTGCGACAAACATGAAGTGGAAAATAAAATCTCAATTATATAAAAATTTTCTTTGATATTTCATCTAACATTAAAGTTTATTTTATGCTAAATCTCTACAATTTGCAAAAATCTCACAAAGACTGAAATTATTTGCCTACGAAATAGCATACACACACTAAAGAGGACAAAAAGGATCATTTTCTCACACTTTAACAAAATTTTTCGATGTGAGTGGGTCTTCGCTCCATTTTTTTGAAAGTTGATCCTAAAAGTTTGCATAAAAATATACATTTTTTGGTTTACAAAAACATGGAGCAAAGACCCACTATACCTTAAAAGTACACTTTTATGACAAAGCATTCGTATCTTTCCGAGAAATACTTGAAGTCCATTAAGTCAAGGTCATATCACAAACATGATTTAAATGCCACTATTCGTCAGTAGCTGCGTGGCGAAGTGGTTAGCGTGTTAGTCTCAAAACAATATGATACTCCGGGTTTTTATTGATAGGGGTTCGAATCTCACGAATACCATTTTATTTTTTTTAATAAAAGAATAATTTTTCCGAGATCTTTTTTCTCAGAAAAGTTTTGTTAATCATAATTTCATAAATTTCAATAATGAGAACTTTATTTTAAATACTTAATTCACAAATTGAATATGATTTTATTAATATCTGAAGCTATAGGCATTCTGCACGCCTTGTTCACCCATCTTCTTTAATTGCAGAACCTCCAAAAGTACTAGACTTAATACCAGAAAAACATTTTATACAAGATATGAATTTTTGACCTTGACCTCTTGACCTCAAAATCAAAAGGGTTTTTTTTAGTCACTAGGAGTTACCATGTGATATATAACTTCATTGAAAAAGAGAAGGAGAACTAAAATTGTCATCTGGAAATCATTTTTGCAATTAAAAATTTCTGACCTTGACCTTTGACCTTTTGACCTCACAATCAATGGGGGTCTTCTTTACGTCATATAGGGAGTTGTGATATAAAATTTCATTGCAAAAAGCTCAGGGGCTTCCTGAGAGGAGGGGATAATAACTGCGCTCGCCCAACGATCAAGCTGTTATGTAAACATATATATATTTACATTAACAAACAGTCTACAAAAATATTTTGAAAGCTTTTCTTGGTGATTACATGTACTTTCAAATTAAATATAAAAAAATTTTAGACTCAGCAATAGGAAAAAGCTTGGCAACAACGTGCTAATTCTGGGATATTTCATATTTATATGTGTATATGTGTGCAATATACCGGTGGTTAAATATTTGATATTGTGCATAGTGAAAAATTTAATATCACCCATTACCCACAGGACTGACAGAAAATGTCGAATGTTTGAACAGTTTGGATACTCTGGCATCTAATGTTTTCCATTCAAAATTCACAAAGGGCATAGTAGAAGCGTTACAATATCAAAAGCATTAAAGCAACCCAGAAAGGCAAGCTATGCACATTCCGTCTTTTATAATAATTAAATCTTGATATAAGATAATGTTAAGATATTGATATACATATATGTTATATAGCATAAAATTTATATGGCTAAATATAAAGCTGTAGTAAAAAAAAACATACCTCGTGCTGTTGTTGGTGTTTGATTAGTAGGTTGTGCATTAGCTGCAAGCGAGCGTGGAAGCAAAACTTCAGGCTGAATAGCAAAAGCACGAATAAGAGACACTGGGACCCCTACCCTCCGGATTCTTTCCCGGGGGAGGCGATCCCTATTAGCTATCATAATACTTGCAGCTCCGTTGGTCAGAAGTAACATTTGTCCTCTCTCACCTAAAAAGTTGTTTTGTTGGGGTAATGTTTGAAAATTCTGTGGGAGACCAGGTAGTTGTTGAGTGAACCCAGGCGTTTGTTGTAGTTGTTGTGGGAATCCAGGCGTTTGTTGTAGTTGTTGTGGGAACCCAGCTGTTTGTTGTAGTTGTTGGGGGAACCCAGGAAGTTGTTGTAGTTGCTGTTGCTGCTGTTGTCTTAAGCTTGGCCTCTGAGCCGGTGCTGATTGGCCGTTCAAGACGTCCTGGCCTCCTCCACCACCTCCTGGATTACCGTTAGTTCCACCACCGGTTTGCCATTGTCCTGATTTTTAAAATAATTTTCGAGATAAGCATTATAAAATCATGTTGGTAAATAATAAAAATGAAAATCTTATGAAAGTTTATTATCAAAAGGCATACATTGACTAGATCTGACATTTAAATATGCTCTTAATTCGTGTTAAGACCATCTTTAAACTAATGTTTGTTTGCCCTCTTCCGACTCAGGGTAAAATCATTGGGTCGGTAGGTAGATGGTTAAATTTTTTCCAGAAAAGTTCAAAATACTTATTGACAGGATGAGAGAATTCAGGAATAAAAAGAAAAAAAATATCGTTTCCTGGGGTTAAATAAGTTTTTAGTCAGGCGGTCGGGAGAGGGCAAACAAAAAAATTTAAAGATGGCCTAAAAGATAAAATTTTAGATTGTAATGTTCTTCTTCATATGGTCATACAATAGTTTGATTTTAGATATTTGGGGGCGCCAATCTCTATCTTTCTCATTTATCACGAGATTTGTGTTTAGAAGTATCGTGTTTATTGTATATGATGCAGATGGAATTAAAGTGTAATGGTCACTTCTGATTTACTAGTATTTTCATGCATTACTTTTATTCATGTTTTAGCCTATGCCTAACATGCAGCTGTGAACAAAGCACAGTCAGCCTTTCCACTTTCATTCTTATCAAACCATAAAATGCTAATATAATTAATAACGATATTCTGTGATCATGGCTTTATGAATAGCAAACGCTCTGTTGGCATATTTTCCATCATACGCGATAGCTCATCGTGGAAAATATGTCAGCAGAGCAAATGCTATTCATAACGCCTTGCTCACTGAACAAGCATTCTGAGAGTATTGCATTAGCAATACAAGTCCCCTACCAGCAAGTGTAATCTGGTTCCCGTTAAGAATTGAAAATGCCATAATTCCGTCAAAAATTAATGAAGCGGGACGAAATGCAAACTTGATCTATAACTAATCAAGGTAAAGCCACATTCCAAAAATCAGCTCAATATCTACAAGCGTTTAGAAGAAAATTGCGGAAAACCCGTAAAAATTGAAAAGGCCGTAATTCCGTCAAAAATCAATGAAGCGGAACGAAATGCAAACTTGATCTGTAACTCATCAAGATACACTCACATACCAAAAATCAGCTCAATATCTGCAAGCGTTTAGGAAAAAGATGCGGAAAACCAAGTGGGGCAGACCGACAGACAGACAGACGGACAGACAGACAGACGGACGGACAGACTCAGAGGAAACCTATAGTCCCCTCCGGTTTCACCGGTAGGGGACTAATAAAGTTGTTTGTTTCTTATGCGTTTATTTAGTGACATCCTTCTCCCCAAATAAGTAAGCAAATCTAAAGTGATTTATGTTCATCTTTGAACATGTTTTTCTGGAGGTAGAATGGCAGATAGTCTATGTTAAAATGAAATACATGTATATCTCCCAGTTACTTCGATACGCAAGAGCATGCTCCACGTACGAACAACTTCTAAAACGAGGCAAGTTATTGACAAACAAGTTGATGAAACAAGGATATCAACAGTCTCGTCTAGAGTCATCATTTCGCAAGTTCTATGGTCGATACAGTGACGTTGTTGTCAGCAAATACAATCTATCATTAAGCCGAGTGCTGACTGACGTTTTTTCATTAGGCATTATTTTAACACTGAATTGTCTGCGGATTTTTCCGTTTGCCCGATCATGACAATGAGCACACGGAGGGTGTGATCGGTCGACAGGAGATGCTCATTCTTCCGTGGCACATGATCCCACCACTGGTGTTTTGGAGGTCCGTGTTTGCTCTGCTCCTGATTTGTTTTGATTCAATGGACTTTTGAGGTTGATTACTGTTAGTTATCTCCATATTACATGAGCTGAATATTTTCATCTTTATACAATATAATTTTCTAAAAGTTCAAAAACATTTTATAGGTGTAAAGAGATAATTAAATATTGCATTTTTACAGGATCACAATAGTTTGGCTAAGAAGAAAATATAGATTTGTATTCCAAGTAAATTTTACAAAATATATGCAAAGATAAAGGTCATATATTACTTAAGGTAGTTACCTTGAGAAAATGGAATAAATACTAAAATTCCTAGGAATATACGTAGAGACATTTCTGTGTTCTTTGGAAATTATGAGACAGCTTTTGTTCCTTTTTGTTTCGTTGGTTGATCTGAAAAACAAAGTACTAAGCGTTTAAAGTTGAAAAAATCTACATTGCTTTAATTGCTAATCAATGTGAAGAGTTCACGAATATGAAGATATGTATTATGATATTGTTTTGATTTGAACATTTTCCATTCAAAAAAAAACATAAAGAAAAGTTAAAACACAAGTTCTTACAACTTACAAGGTTTTTACCTTAACTGATTACAACTGTTAACATCAGTTAATTTACTATAGATTAACATTGGTAGACAAGCATGTTTGTTTTCATACATAAAGTTAATATTTGAAATATACATCAATTCAGGCGTTTGGCAGTAAAAGTTCAAGTAGATCTATACCAGAATCTCTAAAAAGAGGTATTCTTTTGATATCATCAATAAATTGTGCTTCATCTCTCCACAAAAGTAGTAAAATATTCAATTTCATCATATACTACTACGAGATTTTTAAAATATTCTTATTTCTACATATATTTCATGTAAACAGAACAATGAAATCAAATATTTACTAAGATTTTGCATATATTTATTATATTTAGATATTGAAATCCTGGCTTACGTGCAAAATGTTGGACAGCACTTGTTGAATTTTTATCTCGTTGCCAGATTACTGTTGTTTACAGTTACAAAAAAATGTATTTATAGAGATGGATCATACAGATTTAACCTATTCAAGCTACCACAGCAGTAAATATATATTAATTTAAACGTGTATGTCCCTTGAACAAATACAAAGAATGCATGCAACATTTAAGATTTCAAAAAACAAAATAAACTTCAAGGTTAAAGTGAACAAGGCTAATCGCGCTTTCTGAATTGTTAAATAAGGCTTCATGTTTTACTAAATACCTCGATAATCACCATTCATTATATTTTAGATATATTACTTAACACATCAGTGATGTTAATATGGGTCACAGCAAGATTTATTATAGTCTGAAATTCTTGAATTTTCATTAAAGAATTCTAGGCTTAAGGTTACAATCTACTTTTTTTAGATTTCGTCAGTTTAGTATTTAAACAAAATGTAAACCGAAATGAAACATTATTAATCATTATATATATCTAAGTCACGTGCCTTTTAAACTACGGTAACCGTGAAAATATGTTGTTAATCTAAGAAACGTAAGGCAAAACTTACCCTTCACTGTACAAAATGGCCGAAATAAGTTGTATTAACGCCATATTCTTGTCTTAAAATTAATTTTTATGCAATAATTAAAGAAACCAAAATTAATTTGTCAAAGCTCTCTGAAACGAGACAGTTGCATAATTTGAAAAGTTTACACGGAAGCAGAAAACAGAAAAAAACAAGGTATTTCTTTAATGACAATTTAAAATGCAACTTTCAAACTTGTTGGTCATCCTTGAAACAAAGAGTAAGCAGAGATCATTTGTTGTATTATAAAGTAATTAACAAATTGAATTATAAAAAGAACGTATTATGTTCGAAGGAAAAACAACTAGTGGTCTATATACTAGTATCAAAAAATCGATTTGTTTCACTTTTTTTTTTTGGTTTTCGTCTGAACTTATCAGTGTGTTATTCAAGAGTAAGAATCTGAAATTGAAAAGGAGTTCATTGAAAGAAAAAGTTTACATCATCAAAATTTGCACTCATATTGTAAAGACAGATGATGATCTTTTTAATAACTTTTGTCGACTAGTGTATAGATAAATGATTTATTAGATGAAATGAATTATTCCTTTTTTATGATTTATCGTCAATAAAAAGATCTATGGCGTTTTATCAATGTTTCGACTTCAATGAATACATACTAGAATAGTCATGTTTTCATAAAAATAGATATATATGATTGATTTGATCAAATTTCAATATATATTTTTCTTAAATGAACCGGATATGCAGCGAGTCTTAAGAATCAACTGGGAAGCTCTAGGGGAAAAAGTACAAAAATAAAAGCTTCATTGCGTTGACACAAAAATAAATCAAATGCAAGCATTCTGAGTAACACGGAAACGTCGAATTATAAAAGCATAATTTTATCTCGTGATTTCAATTAACAAATTGTCACATTAGATTTCTTGTCATGCTTGCGTAATGAAATTTTTATATATTTTTTCCCAAGCAAGATAAGAATTTTAATGCTGAAACAAAAAGGAATCTGATTTATGCAATGACTATTATGCAATTTCTCTGTAGAATACAAGAATATCCGAACTTGTGCCAGCAGTTGAGGTCAACATATATTTTCAATGTAATGCATCAAACTAGGGGAGAAATGATCTTTATAAGAAATAAATAATAGGAGCTTACATTAAGGAGGTTGGGGGGTCAACAAATTAACCACCAGATTTAACTTAATTTTTTAGATATGATATCTTAAGCTGTCAACTATCATTTGGCAAAGAAAAAATTCAAAAATTTTAGTTTTAAAATTTGATCATTTTCTATATCTTCATATGGAGCTCTTCTTCTAAAGGAGATCAATATAGTCTAAAAATGGCCACAACCCCCCAGCCTCTTTAAAGAAACTGCTTTTTTGGTCGTTAAATACTGTATTTAATTTTCGGGAGGAGAATAGCTGCTTAAATAACAAAACCGATGTCAGGTCGTGCTTAGTGATTATTGACAAAAAGCTAATTAACAATAAATTGTACAAGAATATAATTATGAGAAAAATCCCCCTCAAATCATTTACTTTTTATTCTGATTAATGATCTAGTACGTCATGAATTTTTCCTTTCATTTCAATCTGTAGACGATGTTCTTACAAGATACAATGATTAGGCAAACTTTGACTATTTATCATCACACCTTCTTTTTTCCGATAAACCCAGAAATGTATGTATTTTATTAGAAAGACATTGGTGTGTTAATATGGTAACTTCTTAAACGTAGGGATATCAATATATTCTTCCAACTAACATTAAACTAGGTGTTAATTAATCATTACTACATAATTATAATGTATGTTATTATCTGTTCGTGGTCAGTTGATCTGATATTAATAATTATGTGGCCTTTGTTGTCAGGACATCTTCTTATTCGTTTCTTCAGGTCAAAGTTGTTTTTTTAACAAAAAAAATCTTTTCTATAACAAGAAAATTAATAACAATAGGTTCAATAGCTTTAATAAGTATAATTAATAATCATTAATATTAACATTACTTTCATCTGTTACTTTAGCTGCCTGCGGGTATTTTTGATCTTTTTTTCGTATTTCATATTCAATAAAGTTTTATCAATGATCTACAAATCTATTTTAATTATTCATAATTGACATTCCATGCACGTAAACCAGGCGAGGTCTTTAATAGATGATTAGCATTAGTTGATTACAGGTCATAATCTTTTAATAAATAACCTTAAAAATCTAAAATGTATTAATACAAAAGATCAAAGTGCTTTTATATCAAGAATTTATAATGAAGACAAAGAATTTCTTACGATTAAGGGTATTTTTAAGGATTTTACGTTTGATTAATCGGGGCTACTTCCGTAATTGACTTCTATAGGGAGGTAAGGGCATATATGGGGCATTGAGTTTAATTAAGATAGCTTGTCAAAGTTTGATTCAAAAAGGTGAGTAAGAAACCAGTTGTCAATATTGCCAGATCATTTTCGTCTGATTACGAAGAATTTTACTTTTTTTGGAAAGATCTCTTTTTTTCATGGACATACTATAATCTTATATGTTAAGTATATTAAAGCAAATTATTAAGTTCAGATTTATAATGAGATTTGAAATAATTCCATTTAACACTGAATTAAAAGAATCATTAAAAAAAAACATTTTTAGTTGTCAGGAAAATTGATACATGTACATAATTTTTTTGGAAGACAATACATGTTAAACTTCAGCTTTTATTGAAAGCGCACATATATCATTTTTACATGCTACCAAGAAATGTAAACTTGTCAATCCTAATTAACTTTCTTAATTATCCTGCCAAAGAAGACCCCGTCAAGAATGACACATTATCATGTGCGCACTTGTTCTAAGAAATGGAAAAAATTCAGCTTTTTTTCTAGGACTTTACAAACGAGCTGTTTCTGACAAATATCCGCAGGTGCCATGTGAAACAGCTGAAATATGTTGTTTTTTCTTGTCTCCTCGTAGTAAGAAATAACACGGGTTCAACATATCCATTGGAAATTCTGCACAGTGGCGATACAAACATGCTTTAATGTTTATCTGTGGCGGTCTTATGATCAAAGTTATGATGTATTTCTTTTCTTTTTCATTTTTCTTAAATTGAAATATTGATTTGTTGTAATTAATCAAGCAATATAGCCTTATCAATCAATGTTTCGAAAGAGCCTAATGTTTTCGTGATTTACATACTGGCAGCAATCCATTACAAATACTCCAAAAACGCTTTCCATTATGACTTGGTTTTGAACATTTTTCTTTAAATTTTAAAAATGAAAATTCATTTCTCACCTTATATTATTTTTTCGTAATTGTCCAGTTGTGTCCCTTTAGAGTACTTTTCGCAGTCCTGTTTATATCCCTTTAGTTTGTCTTGTGTTGTCTCTCTCAGGGACTGTCGTCTAATAATTCACCTGCATTACCTCTCGATCTATCATTTCCGTGACGTTGTTCGTTTGACAGTTGTCTTTGTGAGATTTGTTTCCTTTCAAATTAACGAACACGTGCATGGAGAGAGAACAGTAAGAGCTGCGGTAACCGGCCCGACCCTCCATCTTTTGTTTTACCGTAAAAACAATTAATCATTTTTTTTTTTATTGATAATCATGACAAATGCGGAAATTAAATAAGTTCATGTTAATTGTCTAGGTTTAGGAACTGTTTCTCTCTAATCAAGTAGTTAAACTTATATAAATCAATAACTGTAATTGAGTATTTAAATTGAATGGGTATGATTTTAAAATCATTTACCCATAGGATTTTTAATAAACTAACATCCCAAGCACTAGCAGAAAGCGTATTTTTATTTCATAGATGAATTTAGGTTCAAAAACACCACCATTTAAAAATAAAAATCCAGAGATGATAGTTTTTACAAGTTCAGAAAAAAATGTCCAAAACGATGTTATTCGTCCCAGTATAAGTATCTTGAGCAAAAATCCTCTAGCTGATTAGTTACACATACAAAATGCCAAGCAGACAAGCATGAAAAAGGAAATTACTTTCATTACTTCCTTAAGGATAGTTAATTATAGTACCTATAAAATTACCTTGATTTATCAATCTTTATTTCTGTTTCTTCTCAAAAAATTTTTCTTAAATTGTAGAAATACTTAGATCTGCCATAAAAGTTGACAAATTAAAATTTTTGGAGTGTATATTTTTACATGTAGCTCACCTGAACTGAAGGCTTAGTTAGCTTTTCTGATCAAAGGGTTCCGGCGTCCGTCTGTCGTGTGTCGTCTGTCATCTATAACCTTTTCACAGTTTCGACTTCTCAAGAATCACTTGGCTAATTTTAACCAAACTTGTCACAAAGAATTCTTGGTTGAAGAGGATTCAAGTTTGTTCAAATGAAGGGCCACATCAGATAATTGAGAATTAGTGAAACTTTTAAAAATCATTTTCTCAAGAACCACTTGGCCAGAAAAGATGAACCTTAATTGAAAGCTTCATTACATAGTGTAGATTCAGATTATTTTTCTAATCATGACCCTCGGGAATAGGGTGGTGCCACAAAAGGCGATCAATTTTTTTCATTGGAATATTCATGTACAAGAAAAATTTTCAAAAATCTTCTCAAGAAGAAGCCATGTTTAGTCGTATTTATATAGAAGCATCCTCAGGTGTAGATTCAAGATTGTTCAAATCATGAACCCCGGGGTTAGGGCGGGGGCCCATTCAGCGATCAAACTTTTACATAAGAATATATAGAGACTTTTTTTTAAAAAATCTTCCCAAGAGCAGCTATGCCATGGTTATTCATATTTATGGGGTACGAAACGTAGTTTTGAGCTTTATTTTCTTATTCCCTGACTGTATACTTTAAAGAGTTGCAATATTTAAAGGACATTTGTGTGATTTAATGATGTCTGGTAATGCTGTACAACTCCTCTGAATCAAGTTTTTTAGGAAACATCTGTTAAAACTATACTTTTGTTTATTTTTATTAAATCTTTTTTATCGTTGGATATCTTTTCAAAACTCCTGGTAATGTATGATGATTTTTTTTTGTCTAAAAAACATCTGATGGTACTATGATTTTAAATTAAGAATATCTTGGAAAATTTTCAGTGGGAAAGATACATTGTAAAGTATAAATGCATGTAAGCTGCTAAGATCTTAAATAAAAGCATCTTCAGGTAGTGAAGATTCAAGTTTCTTCAAATTTTGACCCCCCAGGTGCAGAGTGGGGCTAAAATGGGCGTTCAAAGTTTTACATGGGAATAAATAGGAAAATCTTAATAAAAATCTTCTTCTGGAAGAAAAGGCTAAGCAATGATTAATCGTATTTATATGAAAACATCCTCAGGTAATGTAGATCAAAGTTTGTTCAAGTCAATACCCTCAGGGTACAATAGGAGATCAAATTTTTACATATGAGTGTGTAGGAAAAGTCTTTAATTCTTTCTTTATGTAAAGAGAAGCCATGATGAGGCATATTGATATGCAAGCATCCTCAAGTATTTAGATTTACGTTTGTTCAGATCAAAGCCCTCAAGAATAGGTTGAGACTATAAAAGGGAATCAGAGTTTTACAAGGGAGTACATTGGACGAAATCTTTAAAAGGAGTTGCAAGATCACGATTAATCTTATTAATAAGCAAAACTTACCTAAGAAATGTAGAGTAGCTAGACTTTTTTAAGTTATGAGCCCTTGGGTTAAGTACAATTTTACATTCTGACAAATTTTTACATAATGCATGAAATATATGGAGATAACGAACAGTATTCAAGCTCAAAGTCCATTAAACAATACAAATTTTGGAGCAGAGAAAACACGAACCTCTAAAACATCAGAGGTGGGATCAAGTGCCATGGAGGAGTGAGCATCCCCTGCCGACCGAACACACCCGCCGTGTATTTGCTGACAAGGTCACTCTATCAACCATAGAACTTGCGAAATGACGACTTTATACGAGACTGCTGATATTCTTGTTTCATCAACTTGTAAGTATTCCAAAGTGTACAGGAAAAAATATCCAACAAAGCAGCAGGACCATGTTGGTCGTATTGATATTGAATCACCAAAATGTTGCGTTGATTTAACTTGAAATAAATCGCAACTCCTTTAGGTCTAGATTTTGGTTCACAACGTGGAGTCAAAATATTTATGAAATAAAAGAGGGTTTTTTTTTTTAATCTGCTTGGCCAGTGCTTCAGGTGTGCGTTGTGGCCCATATGGGCATCTTGTTTCATTATAAGCATCTTCGTTTTCAATGTACACACTAATTACACACACTTTTCTCTCCAGACACCATCGGCTTAAATGTGACCTAGGCATTACACTCGTATTTCTATGACATTCTCTTTTACATTTTCTCTATACATTTTCTTTATTCAAAGCAATATGATTTTCTGAAAATTATAGATTATCAGTAAAGTTCGCGAAATTAAGGTCTTTGATATTTATTTTGATGTCATCAAATAAGATGTAATTTATTTAATTATTTTTTTTCTTAATTTATTTATTTATTTTGAGAACCATGGATAAATCAAATATTCAACAAACTGGAATAAATAACATCTTTCTCTTCATAATTCATTGATTTTCACTTATAATATATTTTGAGATGTACATGTAGGTAAACACCTTTCAACAAAAAGATTGATAAAAGTAGTTAAAAATCCAGACCGCTATACTGAGACAGAGCTTTGAATTTTTAAAGTCAAAGAAAGCGGTTTAAAGCCTATAATACATGTATTATGAGGTGTAAGATCTTGATTTTGTACTCATATTAAGGATTAAAAATTGGAGAACAACTTAACAAAGATAAGAAAATAAGTTTCTTCTTATTTCCTACTAGATGAAAAACTTATCTCTCCTACTACACAGGAAATATACACTGTATATCAAAACAGTTAATGTGAAAATAATGCAAACGTGAGAGCTTCAAAATAAGGTATTGTTTAGTAAAAATATGCATGTAAAATACAACATTCGTTGATGTCAGGCTTTAGCAAAAAAGAATGATACAAAGGTTGAATTGATGCAAAAGAAGTATCGGTGAATCCAGTGCGCATCTAAAAGAGTTGTGAAAAAAATATACTTTTTTTATTTAATAGCACATCATCTAATTTCTAATTAACAGTCAAGTCTGACGTTTCTATCTATTTTTACCGAAGGTGAAACGCTGTAGCGGTATTGTCAAACGACAGTGTGCTTGTCATATTAATTTGGAAACTGCTCGAAAACACCATTTTTCGTACATGCTGTTTCCATAAGGAAGAAATGTCAAAGTTAACGAATACATAGATGGGGATGGGGAGCCGGGCATTGGATATTAACGTCAATAACCGCTGATTCACAAAATTTAGTGTAGCTGTACATGATGGTTTTAGTAAAGACAAAAGAACCATGTGTATTGTTGCATAAATGAAAACAATATCTCAAATTGAAGACAACGTATACGTTGGATCAAACCTATTGTTGTCAAGGTTGTTCTTGCATACTAGGCCTAGTTGACTGGGAAATCAGGATGTCAGTGCTAAATTAAGGATCTCAACGACAGAGTTCAACATTTCATTTATCTACCATCAAATAGAAGGTAGAATAAAATAGAGATTTAGTTATACAACACTTGAAAACTGCTAAGCATAAGTAATGAAAGACAATAAAATATCGAGACATGATAGGGAAAGATATTACAAATGATGAATCATTTATATATTCCGATGCAGTATTCAGGGTTTATGAGGTCAAGTGACATGGACAACATAATATATATACATGTATGAGGATTTTAAAAGTCAGTTATATTAGATAGTCTGAAGAACAAACCTACAAAGTGCAAAAAGACACCAAAATGCTCTCCAAGTAAGAGAAATTCTGTTTGCCAGATTAAAGTACATGAGATCAAAAAACATTTCAACTTTTCGATAACTAAGAATTTTAATAATACAGCACGTGCGGTACTAAGAGAAAAGAAATTATTTTTAAAAAGATGATAATAAATTATTCGGATTAAAATTTAACATACTACAACCATTTTTGAAACTTACTATAACCATTTTTGAATAATACCTTTTCGTTTATTTCATGATTAAATTAAATAACTTCATCTTTCTTCCAGAATTCCAACAAAGAACTTGATATATTGGCATAATTTTTTCGGTATTGCATTAATAAGGAAGTGGCTGAAAAGTTGGCTAACAAATACAGTGTGCTAAAGACCAAATAAGATATGCTGTTGCGTTATTTATCGTCGGTATGGTGAACTTTTTCCAAACACAATATGGTATTATCTATTAGAAACAAAATATTGTCGGAAAGACATGTACATTTGAAAGAAAAAAAGACCTTGTTAGATAAAATGTGTAAATTGTAAGGAAAGGTGTCACCGATTCATTTGCTCCTATCTCCTTAAAAACTATAGGAATGTTTAATGGCCTTCGTTTTTTTTAATTGCTTCATAAGCCTTTCTCAGAAAACATGTGATCTATGTCTATTTTGTTTACGCATGAAAAAATCTTTTTGTCACTTGTAAAGTTGTTTACAAAT